CTGGGGCAAAAAGCATATGAGGCACTGTGGGCATAAAATCTGAGGACACCAGGAAAACTCGGCAGTCAAGATCAATACTTTAAGGAAACAGTTTTAAAAATGAAAATTAGATAAGATGCAACCTATGAAGCTAGCCACAGCCACTGCAGCACAATTTCGATCCCCGGCCTGGGAGCTACCCACATGGTGCAGCAGACCTATCCTGTCTCACCCACTGCTCCCCTCAGCACTATTTCAGTCAGTCTGCCTGTTCTGCTCCCCACTCTCATTCCCTGCACCTCTGGCCTGTACCCCAATTCTTATATGCATAAATAAATAAAATTTTTTTTAAAAAAATTAGAGACTCAAAGAGATATTTGCTTCAGTGGCATTACATTGGGAGCTGTGAAGGGAGTATTCACACCCCAGAAATCAGCAAAGGCTACAAAGGAAACTTACTGCCCTATCCCAATTTTGCCAGTAAACCACCTACAGGAGCCTGGGACCCATATATTGCCCAGGCTGTGTCCTGCTTGGCCACCGGCTCTCAGAGCTCTGCTGACCAACCAGCCATGGCCTTCTCCACCCACTGATGCTCTCTTTCTAATTCCCATGGCACCTCTTCCGGGAAGCTTTCCCTGATTTTTTTTTTTGCCTACCAGCCTAAAATTCTTTCTCACATCACTATCCTCATGCAGCTGTCCTTGTATTTTAGCCTGCCTTTCTTTTTCCTCCCTGTAAACTTCTTTCTCGAATAATACTTTTTATTACAACTATAATTCATGCTCATTATAAAAAAATTCAAAGTGAGGAAAAAATGTATAGTACTAATGATCCCACCTGTCTCTCCAGCAGTGACTGCTGTCCCTACCATGGTGTACATCTTGCACACATTTCCTCCTGCACCTAGGTGATAATTATCACTTCTAAATGGGTTCATACTATATAAATTCTTTTATAACGGCCTTTTACTTACTAGACTGTGCTAATCCTTCCATGGAAATAAGTGCATTTTATCTAAGAGCTTTGTTGAAAAATCTGTATAATGTTCTACTCTGTAGCTACATTATAATTTATTGATCCAAAACCCCAAATTAAACATCTAGATTACTTCCAACAGTTTACCATTGTGACTGGTCCTGGGCTCAGGATCTTTGTTCTCAAAGCCTTCGGATATAGTTTTGTATATTTCCTTAGTATAAATCACCAGAGTGAAGACTTGTTGGACAATGAGCATGTTTGGAATTTTTATTCCCAATATTTTTCTCCGGGCAGGTGCACTTCCCCCGCCCCCCCCTCCCCATCACATCTTCTACAAACATTAATTTAGAGTGCATGTGTTCTTCTGAACCGGGCTATTTAAAAATTATTTTTGATGTTATTATTTACTACAATGCTTTTCCCATTTATTTGGTGCCTGGAATCATTCCCTGTGGCAGCTGTACAAATGGCAAGGTGGCTTTAAACAACAGAAGTGTGTTCACTCACAGTTCTGGAGGCCAGGAGTCTGAAATCAGTAGCCCTGGGCTGAAATTGGCTGCACTCCTTGCAGAGGCTTGGGGGTGAATCAATTCCTTGCCGCTGCCAGCTTTTGGTGGCTGCCAGAACCTCTTGGCTTGGGGCCATATCACTCCAGCCTCTGCCTCTGTGTCCACACTTCCTGCTCCTCTCTAAGCATCAAATCTCCCTCTTCTGCTCTCAGAGAGACGCTTGTCACTATAAGATCCACCGAACTAGAGGCCTCCTGGTAGTACAAGGGGTTAAGTCTCAGCACTAGGAAGCTATGCACAGTCCAATCCCCGACCAGGGAGGTGACCCACATGGCACAGCTGACCTTTCTTGTCTTGCCTGCTGCTCCCCGCAGCAGTGTATTTCAGTCAGTCTGCCCGTTCTGCTCCCCACTCTGTCTCTGGTGAATCCTTTCACCCCACCCCCACCCCGCACCTCTGGCCAGCACCCCAGCTCTTGTATGCATAAATAAATAAACCTTAAAAAAAAAGATTCACCCAGTTAATCCAGGAGAATCATTCTGCATTTTTAATTTAATCACATCTGAAAAATCCTTTTCTTGCCATATAGGATAATATTCACAGATTCCAGGGATCAGGATGGGGTTATCTTTTGAGGAGAGGGCACAATAATACCTTACTGCAACGTCGTTGAGGGAGAAAAGCAGGTAACACCATCCTCTTCCATAAAGCACATGACGACAAGCTCAAGACCATCATGTGTATGTAGGTCTGTATGGGATTGTCTGGAAGGACGCACTCAATTGTTGACTCGCTCACTGAGGGTGGAGTGGGGTGGGCAAGGATGGGGGAGATCACGCCACCCTTGACACCCAGAGGCTGCCTTGCTCCTTTGTGTTGGTCACAGGCCAACACCAGGCTGCTGTGTCTGGGGTCTCTAAAGAACGAGAGCAAGCTGCCTGTTACTCCCAGCACAGAAACTCACCCACTGAGACACAGGTAAATCACTTCATCTCTGGGCCTCAGTTTCTTCAACCATAAAAGGAGCTGAGTTGTTGGGTCTCCTGAGGTTATTATGAGGAGAATGAGGTAACTCTTACTGTAGACCTGGCCCACCATCGGCCATCTTAGCACCACCCTCCTTGTCCTCTCTGGATGGAGAAAATCCGCTGCCCATTTGTAGGGTCTGCTCCGTGAGGCCTCAGTCCTTGAGGCTGGCAGCCGAGGGAGCTACCCACCAGCAGAAGCCTGGCCCACAGTAGGACTTGAGTACTTGTGCCTACAAGGTATGTGAGGACCCCATTAGCCTGCACACTTACTAACCATTCACACGCATACCCCCATATTTATCTGTATAAGTTGGAAAATCCCATAGTTCTCTGGCTGTGTAGGGCCTTGGAGTAGGCCCAGTAGGTCCTTGGAGGTCTGAGGGGACTTGAGTCTAGTTATAGGCATAGAAGCGCTGAGGAGTCAGGTGGGCACAAGTGCCTTCCAAGGGGAGGGCATTGCCGTTTCTTCAGACAAAGTGTTTCCTTCCTCAGAAATCAGTGAAAGGTCAGGTTCTACCTACAGATGACCTGGAATATTTTTCTTGTCTGGTGAGTATGGCTTCTCTTCTCCCTCCTGGCTGTATAAAGAATGTTTATCTTCACTGTTGATTCTGTAAAATGTCACTTCTAACCCAGTATGTTTGCTTCTTAGAATACCAGATGAGGTGTTAGTAGTAAATTAACAACCTTTCCCAAAATGGGGCACTTCTTAGCTCCCGGCGGGTCTGGGCACAGACAACAGCCCCCAACTCAGACACACAGACATATTCAAGTCACCAGCATTCTGGCAGAGGAAAGCAATGAACCTCACGTTTCCAAATGAACTTCACCTTGAGCACATTTTTTTGGGGGAGTTTCTTCTATTGAACTAGGATTTAAGAAAACATACCTTGAAAAAAGCAAACTTAAAAAGCTGCAATGGACTGAGTTGAAATTTGGGGATTATTTTTAGCTATTTGCTAGATAATGGAGACCCAAACCAATAATTTCCTAAATATATTAGGTATGTGGCTCCTTATGCTACACTGAGGGACTGTCATGGCAGCATTGACCTTCCTGCCACATCCCCCACCTGTCAAGCTTCCCACAGCTCACCTGTTGTCTGAAGGATCCCCTCTTTGTGGGGCTTGTCAGCTGCTCTCAGAAGCACCCTCCTTGAACTATTTTAGGCCCCATGGAGTCTGGCATTTAATGGTCTGGGAGAGCACTCCCACTCTGCTTCTTTAGAAATGGGATGTATCCAGCTGCCTGGGGCTCTAGGCCCCTCGCCAGGTGGTGATGCCTCTTTCTCAGAAAGCAGCAGTCTTCTCCACCCGACTTTAAAATGTCTCTGGAATGATTTGAATCATTCAAATTTTCCACCCAAGGCTATGAATGATCATTTTCATAAATTACAAGAACTAACATGCCAACATCCAGCTTGTGGGAAATGATGTCTACTTCAGTACTTTTGCTTTTTTTGTTTTTGCTCAGATCCTGCTCTCCATCTCCTCTGATTCCACCACTTCTCCCTTGGAAAGTGTAAATGTGTGCTTCCTTCAAGCACATATTGCCTGCACAGCTTGTTAACAACCCCTGCCTTCTGATAATCCTCTTCAGTACTTAAAACTTTATGCCACACACCCTTTCTTTAGGTAATTATCTGTTGACTTTCTAAAGCATTCATATCAAAAATACCTTTGAGTGTCCTCCCTGGTGGCCTAGGGGTTAAGTCTCAGCACTATCATCACTACGCCTGAATTGGATCCCTGGCCAGGGAGATGACCCACGTAGGGCACAGCAGACCTCTCCTATCTGGCCCGCTGCTCCCCTCAGCAGTGTATTTCAGTAGAACTGCCTGTTCTGCTCCCCACTCTGTCTCTGGTGAATCCTCTCACCCCCACCTCTGGCCTACACCCCAGTTCTTCTATGCAAAAAAAAAAAAAAAGTTAAAATAATACCTTTGCATCTACTCCACATCTTGCCGTGAATTTAGTGAATGATTATTTATGTAAATGATGTTTCCAGTAATGAATTTAAATGATCACAACCATGATAGAAGAAACTGACTTCCTTTGCCAAAAGCACTGCCCAGACCCTTAGCATTATAGACCATTATAGCATTATAGACCCTAGTCATGTGAAAAATACACAGAACTGTGCTTTGAAGATTAGTCTTAGAATGAGTCAAGGATTAAAACCACCAAGAATAAGTTCAGTTTACAAAGGACGACACTTGAGCAGGTAAAACTACTGCAGAATTGCCAAGGTGCAGGGTACTTAATGCTACTGGCTTTAAATCTGGAGATTGCTTGGGTTACTCTGGAAGCCAAGACTGTTTAAGTCAGGATTTGGGGGTCAACACAAGTAGGTCCTTAGTAAATTACAGTTTCATGGCCTTATTATTAATGCAAGTCCTTTTATATAAAGCAGCACAACACTCAGGTTACTTGAAAATGAGCAACTCAGCTGTGGGCCACCAGTGACCACAGACACGAAGTAAACTGCCAGCGAGTCTCTGCCCGGGTCATTCATAGTAAAACTTTATTGAACAGAAAACCCAGCAAAGTTTTCACCTCTGCAAAGTTCCCCTTGGTTTAAAGTAAAGCACTGCATTTTAAAAAGCATTTATACATTAAGTCTTTCCTAGAAAAGTCCTGCTAAAACATGTCTAGCAATTTCATTGATTATATAAAGTAGTACACTTAGTGTAATTTAAACATTCCAACAGGAATCAAATCGTACCAGCAGAACCATTTCTGCATCTATGACATCTATGTACACACACACATGCAGACACACACATCTGGAACAGCTCCTCAGGCATAAACATGCGACACTAGTGCCTTCTACTTACAAGGTCTATTAAACTACAAACAGTATATATTAAAGCTCTTCAGAATAAAGACATAAGAAGCCTTGAGCGTTTTTTTGTTCATCAATATGTATCATGGCTTCATGTCGTACTTTCTGCTTTTGTTTGGCCACAAAAGCACATCATTCTTATTGGCTCTTTTCCTAATTCTGTGCCATTGCCGCGTCCGGGTGAGGACAGCTAGCTGGAGTCAGGTGATCCAGTCCATGCCCATCAAAGTCTCTAACAGCCAGTGAGCAAACACCGTCAGTTTGCAATGGCTGGGGGGCCCTCTGGAAGAAGAGAGGCAAAGAAAGTCTTGAAGACGAGCCAGGCTGTGCTCATAAATGAAGGGCTGGTCTGCTCCTCCCCCGGCACATCCCTGTCTGGAGGGAGATGGTTGGGGTCCTCGATTTCAGGATCAGGACCTTCCTGTAGGTGACAAGACACAAGGAGAACACAATCAGGACTGTGATAAAGAGCGAATAATGTTAAGAAAGGCAGCGTCAGCCCCTGCTTCCTTGCCCTATACACAAAGCAGCTGGGCAGGCAGGACTTCAGTGAATGGTGTTGGGCTGGATGGAGCCCTTCTCCTCAGGCCTCCAGGGCACAACTGTGCCGCAGACGTTCTCAGCAGCCTCCAAGGTGTGACATGCTACAGCCATCAGACACTTGAGAAATGTCCTTTACATATGCCGTAGCACATATGACAAAGACCTGATAGACTTTATGGCACATTTAATGTTTTAAAAATAGCTATTGCCAGGGCCTCCCTGGTGGCACAAGGGATTAAGTCTCAGCACTATGAAGCCACTACAGCACAATTTCGATCCCTGGCCTGGGAGCTGACCCACATGGCACAGCAGACCTCTCCTGTCTTGCCTGAGCTCTCCTCAGCAGTGTATTTCAGTCAGTCTGCCTGTTCTGTTCCCTGCTCTGTCCCCTGGTGAATCCTCTCACCCCCCAGCACCTCTGGCCTACATCCCAGCTCTTGTATGCATAAATAAATAAAATAAATCTTTTAAAAAAATAGCTATTGCTCCTAGATTAGAAATATTTAAATCTTGAAATATGTGCCCTGATAAAATGGTAAACCACAACACTGGATATCTAAGGACCAAGGACTTGAGAGCCCGGCCTCACATCAAGCTTGTCTGGGTTCCTCCAGAAGTCTCATACCTGTAAGTTATTGTTGGGGTCCTGATTCACAGCTTCATGAAGCGGACCATCATTTGGGAAGTTCTGAGCCGGCCTCTGTCTGAATGGAAACCACCCGACATGATGCCTTCAAAGGAAGCACACGGAGGTCCATCTTAGCTGACAACAGTGAATCTAGAGGTCATTTGAATTAGGCAAGACCTGGCTCACTCCCCTCCCCCATTCAGAGCATCCTGACTAGAAGTTCAGGGTCAAGCCTGTCTGCAGAGACATTCCATCACACCCCCGGCTCAAAGTCCTTGCTGGCCTGTTAGGCTCTTGCACTCAGAGGCTGGGTTTTAGCTGCCTCTGCTTGCTCAGAAACAAAGGCAGCACCTGGCGCATAGTAACATGCTTAAGTTCTTGCTCATCTGAACTAAACTTTCTACTTGAAAACCTGAACAGAATGGGGAAATTTTGTACATGCACACAAAGCTGTGGTTATAATGCATGTAAGATATAAGAGTAAGACCTAAATTTGGTCACTTAAATATATGACTGTAGAGACTACAGAATGTAAAGAATCAACTACAAGTTTTAGTTGGCAAATCTAATTAAACCCCAGTCTTAAAGCAAATGTGACAAAATATTAGCATGATTAATTCTGGACATATGAGTACTTGTTATTTTATTCTAAACATTTCTCCATTAAAACAGATCTTTAAAAACTAAAATAAAAATGCATTTTTACTATAAAGAAAAGATTTCTTCTTTAGGTTTTAACCACAAGCAAGGACATGTCATATAGATGAGGGTTTCCCAATGGACACAACTGACATGCTGGGCTGGCTGCTTCCTGCAGCCACTGCCCTGTGCCCCGCACAGTGTTTAGCAGCATACCTAGAGTCCACCCATTAGATGCCAACAGATGCCACAATAGTTTGTGACCATTAATAATGTCACCAAACATTACCAAAGATCCTCAAGTCAGGAGATGGGGGGCTAGGCATGGTGCAAAATCACCCCTCGGAACACCCATTCTCAGCCGTGCCAGGTCTGTGAACTTTCCCTGGCCTCTCAGGGCTATGCTAACAGTCAGTGCTGACTCTCATCCTGGAAGGCAGCCATAGGCAATAAAGGTAAATAGGACTTTGTGTAACACAAACAGAATATTCTTTTCCATGCTTCAGTATGGCTGTATTATTGAGGCTTATCATAAGCCTGGCAGGTACCTTATGTAGAGGGAAAGAAGAGAATGTTCTTCTAGTATAAACGCACAATGAACACACTCTTGCACAACCACTGTAAGAGTTCCCTGTGTGGAAAGTGCCAGAAATGACATACTATTTAAATATACTTCCTTCAGTAATGACTGAGGTTGCTCAAAACAGAGCAACATCTGCGTTTAACTTAGCGGCTGTGTAGTGTAATTCATAGTCAAGGGAGAGAACAAGCAGGTGGAACCATGTGCTTACAGGTACATGACCACGGTGGCTCCCATGACCATGAGGAATCTGCTCAGGGACGAGTAGAAGTAGAGGATGCTGAGAAAAACGGAAAACGTGGCTGCCGAATAGGTCCAATCCAGCCAATCTCGATTTATCTCGTCATCTTCCTCCACAATCGGGCCGCCTTGTGCATTCATCCGCAAATTCTGATTCGCCCCAGGATTCACCACCACTTGAGGAGCAGCATTCTGATTGGCTGGCTGGTTTTCGGCAGGAAACTGGTTGTGAATGGGGGCCGGTGCAGGTGCAGAGACCACAGGTATCTCCTGGGCACTTGGTGAGGGCACAAACGCCCCTGATGCAGCAGTGGCAGCTAAACTAAAATAAAATGACAGAGGCAGGTACTGTGAGAGCAAAGCACCGTGAAGACTGTGGTTCTCATAACCTTATTTATGTAGGGGCCTTCCCATTTAAGAATTTTAAGTAGGTACACATGGACTTAGTGAACTTCTTTACTAACAGACCTAAAAACAAATGCCTTTTTCTGCTAAGAGAAATCACATGATAAACTTCACCTGAAATTAAACATTAAGGCCACTATAAAAGTGGTAGAGCAGCAAATTAAAAATTTAAAGTTAAACACTTCAGAGATACCACAAAATGAAAAGGAAGTAACACATTCTAAAACAAGTCATCAAACTATGTATCCGATACAAGCATCCCTGCATCAATATATAAATTAGGTAGTGTTACCAGTCACACTCCACTCTGCCCACAGAACCAGACAGAGCAAGCTCTACAGAAACAGACCACAGAGCACTCATCCTAACTCCATTCCTAACTTGCCAGCAAATGTGGATGGATTTCCTCTGCCCCAGAAGCCCCAGCCACACACGGCCTGTGGGGAAGGACTTACTACTGCATGTAGTACTGCCGCGCGTAGATCTGCTGGAACCAGGAGAGCTGCAGCCAACCGTAGGTTGTGTAGCCCGAGAAACCAGGCCCCAGGCCTTGGAACGCCAGCTGGGTAGCTTCAGGCCTATGACAGATATTTTTATTTATTTATTTTTTAAGCATATCAAATATTTATCTGGGTAACAAAGGATTATGATATATTGATAAGCATGGAAACTATTGCCAGGACAATGCCACATATAACAGATTTTTTTTTAAATGTTCCTTTTGAGTTGATTTAGTATGAATAAATAAAAACTAAATTTAAATTACAATCAGGAATGCAACTCAAAGAATAGGCTTTATGACAATCACATGATGGATGGCTGTGTGATATCCTGGTAACATGAGCACACAGTGCAGTGACAAAGTCCTCGCATTACAGTCCAGAGCCCACGGGAAAACCACAGCTCCATGCAGCACTGGCTTCCCCTCATGCCACACTGTGAGGTACGAACCAGCTGGACCTTCTTTGCAGGCTGTGGATCATCAATTGCATTTTTTTTAAAGATTGATTTGTTTATGCATACAAGAACTGGGTACAGACCAGAGGTGCAGTGGTTGGGGTGACAGGATTTCCCAGAGACAGAGTGGGGAGCAGAACAGGCAGATTAACTAAAATACACTGTTGAGGGGAGCAGTGAGCGAGACAGGAGAGGTCTGCTGTGCCATGTGGGTCAGCTCCCTGGCCGGGGATCGAATTCAGGCCATGGCAGTGATAGTGCTGATATTTAATTCCTAGGCCGCCAGGGAGGCCCAAGGGAAACAGTTTTAAGTGTTTCTATCCAACAATGAATGCAATCATCCATGCACACACTGACAGTCCTCTAATCAAATTCCACACCCAGAGTATTTCTGAAACTATCCCAGTACAAACAGATCTTGATGTGCTACTGTTTTTGATCATTCAAGAGGGTTATAACACATGAAAAAGAGTGCTTTTTCATGTGCTTTCACTAGCCTGATGATGGCACTGCAGGTATGTGGAATAACTACAGGGTTTTCAGTTACATGCTGAAGTATGTGGGTGTGAAGTGACATGACAGCTGAAGAGGGAACAAATACAGCAAAACCTTAAGCATTACCGGGCCTGGTGATGGCTATGTGGATATCCCTCTACTTCTGTATATATTTGAAATTCTCATGAATGAAAAACCACACAATTCCTTAACCTCCTTGCCTGATCAACAATCAAGTATTAAAATTACTAGGGGCCTCCCTGGTGGCACAAGAGGTTAAGATGCAACACTATGAAGCTGTCCACAGCCACTACAGCATGAGTTCGATCCCCAGCCAGGGAGCTACCCACATGGCACAGCAGAGCTCTCCCGTTTCACCCACTGTTCCCCTCAGCAGTGTGTTTCAGTAGATCTGCCGGTTCTGCTCCCTACTCTGTCTCTGGTGAATCCTCTCACCCTCCGTCCTTCTGGCCTACACCCCAGTCTTGTATGCATAAATAAATCTTTAAAAAATAAATAAATAAAATTACTAGGAAAAGGCGAACAGGGGGAGGAGAAGGTTAGAGAATTTCAACATGTAGTCAATAAATTATTTCTCCCTATAGGAATTTTCATAATAAAGTGGTGTTCTAAGAACTATGAAATTCAAACCTCAGAGTATTTAGTCATTTCTGGCTCTTGTGCTAAAGAAAAGCTCTGATTGCTCTAAAGAAATGGCCTTTCTTCCTAGTGCCACCAACACAGTCCTTGGCAGAACATTTCTTAAGCAGTCTCTTCACCTTTTGTCATTCACTGTTACAATAAACAAAGAACATAGCCACTCAGCAAAGCAGCTGCACTGTACTTACAACAGCTATTTTTTCTGCAGCAGCACTAATTTCCTATCATGAGGTCAACAAAATGCAAAGTACATCCATGTAGGAGGGGAAATGCCTCTACTTTCAATATATGATTCTCTACTTTTTATATGTTTCTAAAAGACTGTGTCTTGGGGCCTCTCTGGTGGCACAGGAATTAAAGTCTCAGTTCTATAAAGCTATCATCAGTCAGTGCAGTCACTGAGGTCTGAGTTCAATCCCCGGCCAGGGAGTTAACCACATGGCGCAGCAGACCTCTCCTGTCTCGCTCACTGCTGCTCTTCTCAGCAGTGTATTTCAGTAGATCCACCTGTTCTGCTCCCCACTCCTTCTCTGGTGAATCCTCTCACCGCCCTCTCACTACCCACCCCCCTCTGGCCTAAACTACAGTTTTTATATGCATAAATAAATAAATCTTTAAAAAAAGACTGTGTCTTGGGCCTCCCTGGTGGCTCAAGGGTTAAGACACAACCTATGAAGCAATCCGCAGTCACTGCAGCATGAGTTCAATCCCCGGTCAGGGAGCTACCCACACGGAGCAGCAGACCTCTCCTGACTCGCCCGCTGCTCCCCTCAGCAGTGTATTTTGGTCAATCTGCCTGTTCTGTTCCCTGCTCTGTCTCTGGTGGATCTTCCCTTCCCCCACGCCTCTGGCCTGTACCCCAGTTCTTGTATGCATAAATAAATAAATTAAAAAAATATTAAAAGACTGTGTCTAAGAAATTTAAATATATGAGAACTTTAAAATACATCCCCAATAAAGCAAAATTTTGTGCATTACAAAGTATATGACCAAACAGTATAAACACACTTTATTCTTCAATTGATGGAAATGGTCCACATTCTTTATTATCATACTTACCTGGAGACGTTCTCCCCTCCAGAGGGAGGAAGGTTCCGAAGAATCTCCCTTTGCCTCACACCATCACTTGAGGAGTCCCCAGCAGACTGTCCCTGATTAAGTCCAGTGGGCTGCTCTGTGGACTCAGCAACCTAAATAAGTGTAATACAGGAATATCAGAACAAAGGGTCTGATGCAACTGTCTGAAATCCAGCTAAAGGATGATCTTGCTATGAATGTGTATGTCACCCACCCAACCTGTGCACTTGACAACAATAAACAGATGCAATAATCTAAAATTTGTTCAACACAATTTCAATAAATAAATACTAAAAAATCCTTATTTTTTTCCTAGACTAACTATCCTGTAGTTTCATTAAAATCTTCTATTGAAATTATCACTGTGAGAAAGCTTACACATGGTGCTGAATTTACTCAATGAAGAAATTAAATCTGCCCAGCAAGATTTATAAATATCACCCAATCAGCAGTTTAAGAATTTGTTAAAATATTTCTTATTTAAAATGTTAAAATATGTTTGGGCTTCCCTGGTGGCCCAAGGGGTTAAGTCTCAGTGCTATCAGCCAAGGAGCTAACCCACATGGCACAGCAGACCTCTCCTGTCTCGCCTGCTGCTCCCCTCAGCAGTGTATTTCAGTAGATTTGCCTGTTCTGTCTCTAGTGAATCCTCTCACCCCCCCCCCACCTCTGGCCTTCACCCCAGCTCTTACATGCATAAATAAATCTTTAAAACTATTAAAAAAATAAGTTAAATATGTTAAACAGCTATGTTCAGATGTTTCAGGAACCACATTGTAATGCAAATGTAGAGCCCCTCACCACATTAGAATATAACACTGCGTACTTGAATCAATGCTGTGAAACAAAAAAATATGAGTTTGACTATCAAACGTAAGTCTTTAGTGGTCACCTGACAGACTGTAGTCTTTTCCTATCCAACTAAATAATCACAACGAAAATTTCCAGAGTGAAACATTCACGTTTTTATTCTTTATAAAAAAGAGGAAGCATCTAAGCTTCCTTAGAAGAAACTTGTTAATGGCATCCCTGGTGGCACAAGGGGTTAAGCACAGCACTGTGAAGCTATCTGCAGCCACTGCAGCATGAGTTTAATTTCCAGCTGCCAGGGAGCTCACCCACATGGCACAGCAGACCTCTCCTGTCTTGCCTGTTGCTCCCCTCAGCAGTGTATTTCAGTAGATCTGCCTGTTCTGCTCCCCACTCTGTCTCTGGTGAATCCTCTCTCTCTCTCTCTCTCTCTCTCTCTCTCTCTCTCTCTCACACACACACACACACACACACACACCACTGCACCTCTAGCCTGTACCCTTGTATGCATAAATAAATCTTCAAAAAAAAAAGACCCACAACGTGTCTTAATTAGTTTAGTTATCCGGACTCAAGGCCACTTCAAGTCAATTCCCACCCCAGAAGGTGGAGAAAGGTGACTCCACTTTTCCACTACAGCACTGATGAAACAGTCTACCGCTATTTAATAAACTCTCATTTGTACTGGTAACAATTTCTGATTCTAATTTTCTCCAAAGAAAAGGAAAAAGTATTACTTGATAAAAAGGCTAGGGAGCCTCTCTCCTTTGCCCCAAATTCCTTTCTTTCTACCTGAGAGTCTGAATGATACAGCTGTTACTGTCCAAAAAAGCAGACGTTACCTTTGTGCTGGCTTCTGCCATTTTGGAAGGACTCTTCACATTGCACACCAAATGCAAAACATGCCGTTTTTCCTGCTGAAAGTAATAAGGAGCGACTTTAGGACCTCAACTGAACCTGCTTAAAAATATTAAAAAGTTAACATGTTAGTGGTGTACCTTTGGAAGCAAGTCTCTGAGACACTGGTGATCCAACAACAGCTTCCCAGAATAAATTAACCTCTGGTCCTCTGGGCGCTAGGCATGGGGAGAAAGCAGCACACGTCAGCATTCAGCCCACAAGTCCCCAAAATCAGGAGAAACTTTTATACAAATAATGAGTATGTGTGGTTTTCTCCAGTATCACAGAAAAAGATTTCTCTTCAAAATCTCCCTATACTGAACTTTTTATTTAGAAAGTGCTTAATTTAAAACTACCGTTGGGGCCTCCCTGATGGCGCAAGGCGTTAAGTCAAGCTATCACCAGCCACGGCAACATGAGTTCGATCCCCAGCCAGGGAGCTGACCCACATGACACAGCAGACCTGTCTGGTCTCTCTGGTTGCTCCCCTCAGCAGTGTATTTCAGTAGATCTACCTGTCCTGCTCTCCACTCTGTTTGGTGAATCCTCTCATCCCCACACCTCTGGCCTATACCCCAGTTCTTATATGCATAAATAAAAATAAATCTTAAAAAATAAAACTGATCTCTAACATGCAAATAAATTTGGTCTAGTCCACAAAACCCAAAGAAACCTATTTGACTTCTCAACTCCCAGAGGAAATTTCTGTCACCAAACACCCAAATTTTATTTGGGGCTCGTATAATAGTTAACTTCAAAACCTGGTTTGGTCTCAGAGAAAACTCAAAGGTACTTTCAAGGTCAATCTTCACCAAAAACACCTAGCATTGTCCCAAGTAACCTGAAGCTATGATAAACTTAAGTCCTCAGAGACTTTCCCTGGTGTACAAATGCAGCTACAAGGGAGGGGGGTGTGTGTGCCTAACATTTCAGATGACAATCCTGTAAGATTTAGTAACCCCATTATAAGGGGAATCTGAAAATGTCCAAGGTCAGTTGCTGCTAAAAAGGCAAGATGCCAGCCCCTCTTCTCCATTCCAGTGATTTTAAAATCAATGACTCCACACTAATGCAAATCTCACTCTTAACATCTACTTTCATTCCTTTAAAAACTGTACTTAAAAATAACACTCCCAAAGGTATGCACCAAACAAATCAGCACACTGGAGAGCACCACCAACTTGTCAACCCACTCCTGCCACAATAACCAATTACACAAAATGTAGAATGAAGTTGCTCCTGTTAAGAAGCCTGAGACTATAAAGCAAACTGTTTAAAACAAAACACAAAATAACTACATCTATTAATCTAAATAAATCAGGATTTTTGCACACTTGCAACTAAAACAAACTACAGAAATATGTTAGATGTTCACAGTTGTTCTCACTGACTGAATGCCATCCACATGAGTATGTAAAATGTTAAGGTGGGATCCCGCATTACAGCAGACTTCCACATTAGAACAAGTTTGAAAATCACAGCTGCCTGTGATTTGAATTGTCTTCCCTCTTAAAGGCCTGAACTGACAGTGTCTTTACCCAGGAGGCTGATTTGAAAAAACATAAGCAAACAGCTATTATAAAGCAAGGCTCCTTGCATTCAAAAACAAATGAGTGCTCTTCAGCCCTAATGTTAACACAAATTTACATATCTGAGAGACCTTTCATTTACAACTTAGGGTCTTTATACTTAATAGCAGTGTTGTTTCTCACCAAAGGAAGTCCCTAAGCAATGCTCTCCAAAACACTACCTTTTTCCAAATGAGGCAATAGAGATGCACCTGCTTCACCCATCTGTGTACCTAAAAGCCATTCTCCCAGCAACAAGCCACCTGGTTTCCTGGAAGCAGCTATGGTGAAATTGCAAGGAGTTCCCAGGTGAGTGCTAAAGGAATAGAAGCTTATTAAATAAATAAGCAAATTTCAAAAGAACAACTCAGAAGGCACTCCTACATCCTTGACAATACGGAACCAAAACCAGATCCAAGCGCTGCCCCACAGTGTAACCCTTCAGATAACAAGGAACATTTCATAATCTTTTCCTGCCCTGATGCCCTCTCCTGTTCGATGGAGAATTACACTTGTGGGCAGCAAAGAACACTGCTGACACTTACATAATCTTAGGGTAGAAAGTTAAATACAGGAAGGTCCGGCTGGCGCCTCAATCACGTGGTGGTAAGGAGGGCGGCGCCAGGAGTGATATTGACAGATGTGTCAACCAAAACAAAGTGAGGAAGTCTCAGTAATGGAGGGGCCAGAGGGAAACCCAGACTGCAGACGGCGACTCCTTTCGCCCGTCTTCCTTCTAAGTCACTGTGCACCAGAAAGTGCCCTCACCACCTCCCTGGGACCAAGCACAGGCCGTGAGGTCCAGCGGGACCGGGAGGGGCCCTGGCCGAAGATGGACAGAGAGAGGAAGAGCCACGTCTGGCTCCTGGGCGTGGGACCTTGGGTACACCCTGCCTGGGCGGTCCCCGCCATCCTCTAGCCCCCAGCCCGGCCTTGGCACCTGCCCTTCCCCGTCCGCTTGGAGAAGCGACGCGCAGAAAACTCACTCCACAGCTTCTGTGCTTTCTTATTTCTGGCCCCTGGATGCAACCCTAGCGAGGGTCACCCTGTCCTTTGAGGGAACTGAGGCTTGGAGGGTGAAACGACTCACCCAAGGTCAAAAGGCAGTTTCAGGGGCTTGGCTCAGGCTGGAAGCCGGGTCTGGGGTCTGGGGAGATGGGGCAGGAGCGTGACGGCCGCGAGGGCTTGGGGACACAAGGAAGTGAGGTGACAGGAGAAGGAAGAGCCCGACAGGAAGGGGGGGGCGAAGGCGGCCTAGCCGAAGAGGTGGAGACGCGGGGCCGGACGAGAGCGCGCCCAGGACGCGGGGGCAGCGGTGGGGGCCACCCCACGGCCCCGGAGGGGGCGGCCCGGCGCGCCCCGGGCGCCGGGGCAGGGCCGCAGAAGGCGAGGCTGCACGCAGCCGGGCGGGGGCCGACGTGGCATCCCGCGGCGGGCGCGAGGAGGCTTTGGGGTGACAGCCAGGGGCAGGGCGGGGGGCCGCGGCCGGGGGGACCCCTCTCACCGGGCGCTCGGGGTAGACGCGGCTCAGGTGGGCCTTGAGGCGGCTCACGCTCCAGCTGCGGTCGCCGCTCAGCTCCAAGTCGCGGTGGCGCTGGTTGGGGCTCTTCACCAGGAGCGTGACGGGCTCGGGCTCCGGCTCCATGGCGGCCGCGCTCCGAGAAGCCAGGCCGTCGGCGTCGCAGTCGCCCAAAACCTCCGCAACGGCGGTTCAAGTCTCTGGGGCGCGCGCCCCCGCCTCGGCCGCCTTTTATAGGCACCCCGCGCCCGAGCGCTGCGGACAGAGCCCTCTGTGGCTGCCGCCCATTGGCTGAGGGGGAGGCACTGCCCCAACGTGGCCCAATCAGCGCCGGATCCCGGCCGGAGAGGCGGGCCGAGCTCGTGGGCGCGGGCTGATGCAACCCGTCGCGGTTGCGTCACCCCGAGTGCCGGCTGCGGCCCCGGAGCTGGGGTTCGGCGGCCATGTTTGGGTGTGCTGCGCCCCCGCTGCCTCCGCGGCCCAGGGGAACTTGGATCGCTGCTAGCAATCCCTAGCTCGGGTTGCACAAGGCACCTTGCAGAGGGCCAGTGCGGCCCACTCCCGGTTTTCCAGGCTCTGCAAATTGTTCCCTCACAAAGCAGCACCCCCACCCTTTTTGACCCCATATGCCAAGGCCTACTTCCCCTTTCCCTTCCCTGGGGGGCCCGGCTTGTCAGGCGCACAGCCTGCTCTACAAGGGAGGCCCCTTCATCCCTACCCAGGCCTCAACTCAAAGAAGGGCTGGGCGACCCCGTTTGTGAGCCCCCCCCCCAACCCCGGGGAGGCTGCCCCGTGTGCCTTAAAAGGGCAAGGAAGAAGCAGAGCCGATTCTCCCTGAACTGAATGGCGAGCGTCTGTTGCCAACAACCCAAGTGTGGAACATCAGCCCCGGGAATGGCATGCCCGCCCAGTCCAGATCCCACCCAGGGACGCTGGGGAAGGGCTTCCCTTTATAGGATACCAATCTTCCTTCAAGTTGGGGCTGAGACACAGAGGGTAGGGTGCACAGTTTTTGAAAATGTGACCACAAAGGCCTCTCTGATGGAGACACTCCCTCTCTCCCCTCTGTAGAAAAAAAAGATCTTGAAAAGCAAAACGGACTTGGTGCAGGCCCCATCCTTGTCCCAATCCTGTTGGGACAACTGTTTTTCCAGGTGTGTCAGGAGCTTGGCAAGGGCAGGAGAGTAACAGGAGGGAGGCTGCTGTTTGGTTGGTAGGTGTGTACTTGTGTGCTGTTAGAAAGTTGACAAATTTATTGTCTCACAGTCCTAGAAGCTAGAAGTCAGATCAAGGTGTTGGGCAAAGTTGATTCCTTCTGAGTTTTGTGGGGAGAATCTGTCTCTGGTCTCTTTCCCAACTTATGCTGGGTTGCTGGCGATCTTTGGTGGCACCTGTGTCACCCCATCAGTGTCATCATGTCACATGGTGTTCTCCCTGTGCTAGAGACTTCACATCATTTTCCCTCTACGTGTGCCAGTCTTTGTGTCTCAATTGCCCTCCTTCTTAAAAAGGCAGCAGTCATATTGAATTAGACTCCAAATAATCTCTTTTTTTTAAAGATTTTATTTTATTTATACAAGAGGTGGGGTACAGACCAGATGTGCAGGAAGGTGAGAGGATTCACCAGAGACAGAGTGGGGAACAGAACAAGCAGACTGACTGAAATACTCTGTTGAGGGGAGCAGCGGATGAAACAGGAGAGGTCTGCTCACCATGTGGGATTCTCCTCTGCTGGCTGGGATCGAACCCACACTGCAGAGGCTGCGGACAGCTTCACAGTGCTGCGCTCAATCGCCTGCACCACCAGGGAGGCCCTAGACTCCAAATAATCTTAACTTTATCATCTGCAAAGACCCCACTTCCAAATATGTTCCATTCATAGAAACTGGGGGTTAGAACTAAAATATCATTTTGGAAGACATAGTTCAACCTATTATAGCTTTAAAGTCTCATAGAATATGGGTGGTTTCTTTTTTGGCTGTCTTTATACCAAGAAGGCAGGTGAAAGGCTTTGGCAATAAGTTGTGCCAGTGCTCAGCTTTCTGTGATTGGGTTTTGTCTGCAGAGGAATGCTCTATCTCTTTCCATCAGGGCTGGTTTCATGGCTGTGAGACCTGGGCAGCCACGCGGGGCCCCTCGCCTGGTTTAATGCTCTGCTGTTACTGCCTGAAATTCTGAACACATTTTGAACAAGTGGCTGTGCATTTTTGCTTTGCCCTGTATCCCAAAAATTAGGTAGCTGGTCCTGCTTTTCATACATTGGGATGGAAGGAAATGACTGGTTATAGTTTGGAATAGTCTTGCAACTAGCTGGAAGCTAATCAACAGGGCAAAGCCTCCTGACCTCTTCTTAGATCAGATAAAACAAGCAGAGACCTTGGAGGAGGTGTTGAGGCAGGGGATACAAGAGCTTTTGAGAAATTGAGTAAGTCCTACAGCCTGCCTTCCTCCAGCCTGCAGCAGCAACCCCAGGGCCCCTCAGGGCATTTACACAGCAGTAAGAAAGTAAAGGGGTTTTCTTTTTCCCTAGAGAAAAGACAGTCCAATTTCTGCCCAAAGAGATAGGTCTTTTTAAAGGACTTGGATGAATCTGCTTATAGTACATCTAGAAAAACATCACATTAAATCAACAAATGTGGCAGGAATAGAAAGATAAACACAAAATGACCCTGCTGTGACCTTACTCCGATAATACAGCACAAAAATACTAAATAAACGACAACCCGAAAGGGGCGTGGCCAATCAAAACTGATCTTTGGTGCCCTGAGAGTTGACTCACTCTGGGAAATGAACCAGAAGTTGTGTTCCAAGAGACCAAAGAGTTCCAAACAAAATATATCAGATAGACACACACCAAGATGCATAATAATAAATCTGTTGATAATCAATAATTAAGACAGAATACTAAAAATATCAAGAGAAAAAAGGAAAAGCTAGAAGTAAACACCAGTTAGACTATTAGCATATTTTTTCAAGAGAAACATTACAAGCATCAAGGAACTGGAAAGAGATATTCAAAGAACTTAAAGAAAAAGACTTCCATCCCAGAATCCTTCCCCTAGCAAGATTAACAATCAAGATAGAAGGAAGAGTAAGGAGCTTCACTGAAATGCAAAATCTAAAAGAATTTCTCAACACCGAGCTGCATAGAAAGAAATCCTAAAGGGGTTATTATAAAGCAACAGAACAACGAATATTGAGGCAAAAGATACTGAAATAACTTAACGTGGAGGAGCAGGAAAGTAACAATGTGGAACCTAACTGACAATACTAAAAGGTGGAAATAGCACAGGTATCCATCAGTGGATAAATGGGATAAACAAACATGGTCTATCTCTGCGGTGGAATATTACTCAGTCATAAAAAGGAATGAAACACTGACACATGCTACATGGTCATCCTCACAAACTTTTAAGTGAAAGAAGCCAGACTCAAAAGGGGGCATGTTTTAGGACTCAATTTATACAAACTATTCAAAATAGGTAAATTCCAGGTGGAAAGCTGATGAGTGGCTATCAGGGTTCAGTGGGGAGTGATTGCTGTGGGCCCAGGATTTCCTTTCAGATGATGAAAATGTTGGGGAGCTAGATAGTGACAATGGTTGATCACATTGTTAATTTCCTTGAACTGCACAAGTTAAAATAGAGCTAGTGGTGAATTTTATGTTTTTTTACTACAATAAAAAACTTTCCAAGCTTATTTAGGTTCTGGTAACTGCTATTTCCCAGCCTTTCTTTCAATGGCAGGAGGAATCCAAGCCCAATAACTACCACCCTTCCAATTACCCCAAATAGGGGCTTTAGGGTAGGTAAAATTATCAGGCTTTTCTGCCCTCCCGCCATCAGGATAGATGACGGAACCCTGTGGTCCTGAATGCACGCCTGATGGCTGGCACCTGGAGTAGGGTGTGGGCATGCATAGGTGGGTACATCTGGCCTGAGAGACTGGTTTATAAGGGTGGTGAAGCAGAGTGCGTTGTGGTGGTGCGGTATTGAGGATGGAGGAGTGCAGTGGCATGTACGGAGGCGTTTGGTGACTACAAACAACGGCGAAGAGCATGTGGCTGCTGGAACCGTTAATAAACCTACCCTGAATGGGTTGCTTGCGTTACAGGGGCCTAGGCCCTGGTTGAGCCAGATGGGTGGGTGACATCTGTCTCACCTTGTTATCTTCCTCACAGGTTAATATATTCTTGCCTTTGCTAGTGACTGCAGGGTCAGCTGCTCACGGTTTATGGTTCTCCCTGACTGCCTGGGTTTGGCTCTAGGGCAAACATGGCTCGGGAGGCCCTGCCTTCCAGGCCTGTGTCCTTGAGCCCAGGTAACCTCAGAGGCCCACTTGTCCTCATTTCATCCACCTGTCCAGTCCTCCTGTAGATATTCTGATTTCTGTCCAGCATTTTATTTTAAAGAGAAAAGAAAACTATTTATTGGAAGTTTTGTTATACCTTTTCATGAACGCGCAGTGTTGAGTCTTTCCTGTACCATGCTTGTTTCTTTATATTTTTTTCTCCCCTAGCAAAACCTCCAGCTTCCCCAAACTGGTTTTCATGTTAGGTTTAGCATTTAAGTAAAGGTGCACGGACTACAGAAATGGCTTCAAGCAAGATTCTTGTTAAAAAGGTGGGACTTTTTGAGCTCCATGAATTGAGTTCTGCTTGCTCATGCCTCCCTTTATCAACTGTAGGCTTTTCCTCCTGACTTTATCAGCCCACGTCAGTATCTCCACTCATTTCTTTAGCCCTCCCATCTCTGACCTGGTCAGGGCAGCCTGAGCCCCATCACTCACTCAGGTATGTTGGAATTTACACCCCACCCCCACTGTGGTTCCTTGTGAGCAGGCTCCACCCCCTTTCCCCGCATCTGGCTCTAATTCTCAAATTAAGCCTTTTTGCAAGGCAGGACCCTTGAGCCCTTCCCAGTGAAAGCAGGCCTTTCTCCTCTTCCTCCACTCTCCCAGCTGCTGCTTCTTGGCTGATATTATGCATCTTAGCAGCCTTTCTCACCTAAAGACTCACTTGCAGGTCCCATCTCTTGACCTCTCAGGCTCTCTCCCGAGATCTCAGATCTTCAACAACTAGCTCACCAGCTTCCTTTTCATCTCTTGCCCCTCCGAAGGATTCTAGCTTCCACTCACACTCCCACAATGCTTAGCTCCACTTACCTTTAGCTCCACTTACCTTTATCTCGTCACTGCTCTGCTCCCGCTGCCCATTACCGAGTCATTCTTTCATCATCCATTCATGTAGCCACTTAACAAATATTTACTGAGAGCCTACTCTGTGCTGAGCCCAGTGCTGGGTGCTGGGGTACGCAGCTGAGTCAGATGTGGTCACCAGAAGGACTGACCTGGCAAATAGCCTCTGCCCTCAATACCCTCCAACTTCCCCTCCCCTGAGGCTTCCAACAACTAAAAGTTTCATCCCAATTACCACCTTCTTGGAGCTCATAGCTAAAAGGGTGGACACTGTAGACTTTGCTCAGAAATCCTATGAACTTTCAGTCTTCAAAATGTGCAAACACTGGTGCACAAAATGCACAAACACAAACGCCCTCTGTTCATCTGGTCTACCTCTCTCCCACTTCCACTCAATATCCTTTTTGTCCTCATGCTACCTGCCCCTCAAGGCTTCTAAACCCTTACAACTCACTTCCAGCCTCTCTAGCCACCGTGGAGTCACCATCAGCCATTTCTACCGATTTTTTTCCTTAACCCCTCCCAACTTGGCCTTCTCCCTTCTGGCTCGGCCAGCTCCATCTCTGGGAAACATGTCACTTGCATCTGTTTACTTTCTGACCTGGTGCTCAGGAGGCCCACCAGGAAAGTCACAGGGCAGGAGTCTGAGAGCTTTGCACCCTTGCTGGCCAGTCATTCACTATGTATGCTTCATGCTGCTTGGCCAAACATCCCCCTGGCCATTATTACGTCTCCCTCAGGTATTCTCTTCCTTACATCTTAAATCTTTCTTCTCTGACTTATAAATATACCCAGTTCTCTATGACTCACCCCACCCTGTTCCAGAGGCATTGCTCAATGAATATTCACACTCTTAAGTTTCTCCAACTTCCAGCCCCCTTGCAGTTGGGTGGGCTGTGTGACTTATATGGCAAATGGACTTGGAATTGAAATATTGTCCCTTCTGGGCTGAAGCATTTGTAAGCCACAGCTTGACACAGCGCTCTCCTTCCTTCCTCAGCTGGAAGCTACTGGCCGAGGCTATGACCTCACAAGACAGAAGTGGCTCTGATCACCAAGTGGCCTGTGAGAGTTCCTGGTCAGCACAAGAAAAGGTGTAAAAGAGAAGTCCATCTTGTTTATGTAAGTGCCCAACATTTAGAGGGCAATTGGTTACTGCAGCGCAGCCTAGCCTTAGCCTGACTGATATGCCTCATAAAACAATGATCAGAACATCTTCCCTGGGGTCTGCTTCTCCCTCAAGTTTCCACCTTTTCCCTCTTCCCTTTATGTTCCTCTCCATTGCTGGGTTACTCCAGTACAATGTCTAGCTGCTTTCCCTACCCCTCCACAAAGTCACTCCTCAATCCCTGGTCCCTGAACCACCACTTGATCAAATTCTTCTCTGCAAGGCTCCCAGTGATGCCCAGAACACCAAATTCAACAGCAAGCTGTTTGGCTTCAGTCCCTCTGAAGACAGCTGCCAGGAGGGTCTACTCTGTGCTCCTCCTCCCTGTACCTTCTCAAGCCCTAGTTCATCCAGGTGTCCTCCTGCCCCTCCTGTACTCTTTTTCAGGCTGCTTTGCTGACTGCCTCTTCTTTCTCCTGGCCCCCTGTATAGAGCACTTTCCAAGGTCCTGCCTGGTCCTGCTTCTGCCCCCTCCGTTCACTGTACTTTCTCTGTAGGTGATCTCCCCCAAGCTCTGGCTTTGATTCTCTGTCCGTGAGTATGACTCCAAATCTATGGTCTCCGCTATCAAAGAGCATCCAGCTACCAGAGGACATCCGAGCTCTTCCTGAGTTCCAGGACCACAGTTCTGCCCGCTAGCGATGTCTTCCACGGAAAGTATCCAGAACTAAACCCACCTACTCTCTCTCTCTCCTCCAGCAGTACACCTGTCACCTTGTCTCCATAGTGCATGGGTTCTTCTTTCTTACAGTTTCCCAGGCTCAACTTTGGGGACCAGATTTAACTGCACATATGTCCAGCAATTCCTAGTTCTGGAGGCTACTATTTCTCCATCCTTTCCGCCATCTCCTCCCTCCCTCTCAGGTCCTCTGGTGAGCTTTCTTGACTTGCCCTTGCAATTCTGCATTTCCACCTCCCTGCTTTTTCTCTTGAGGCTTCCTCCATCACCTGTCCAGTCAAGCTTCCTAACACATGGTTCTAAGCTTCACGTTCGATGGCTCTTCAGTGCCTCTGAGTCAGTTATGCACTCCCAGCCTCATCATTGGGACCTTCCCCCTTACAACTTCCCCAATCTTGTTTTGCCACTATACAGCCCTCATGCTCCAGGAAAACTGGTTTATTTCCTATTCTCTAGGCTAACCCAGGGCTTCCTTATTCTGATGCTTGTTCAAGGCATTCCTGCCCCCCGGAATAGCTTCTTCCAACCCCAGCCCCCATTTCTGTCTGTTAAATACTGCTTTTTCTAGAGAGGCTATCCTAAGGTTCCCTGACCTGATGTGTTTGCTCTCTCTTTTGCTATCTTAGAGAGCTTGATGTAGCATTTGTAACTCTCTATATAGCTGGAATGAAAAACACTTGTCTTGGGGCCTCCCTGGTGGCACAAGGGGTTAAGACATAACCTATGAAGCTATTCACAGCCACTGACTGCAGCATGAGTTCGATCCCTGGTCAGGGAGCTACCCACATGACGCAGCAGCCCTCTCCTGTCTCCCCGCTGCTCCCCTCAGCAGTGTATTTCAGTCAATGTGCCTGTTCCGTTCCCCACTCTGTCTCTGGTGAACCCTCTCACTACTCCCCACCCCCGCACCTCTGGCCTGCACCCCGGTTCTTAAATAAATCTTTAAAAAGAAAGAAAGAAAAACACTTCTCCTTTCTTGTCACTGTGTCGTCTGTTTGTCTGACAGCTGTCTGGCCTCTCAGCCAGGTGGTCCTCCTCAAGGCTCTACCCACATGGTATTTTTAGCAACAGAATTTGTTGTGGTTCCCCTTTCAGGAAGCAGCACTTACATCCTGCTTGTGCTTTCAGTCATAGGATTAACCCTCACTGCAAGTGGGGAATTACCAATCAGGCCAAGGGCTGGGTTTTCCTGGGCCCCCTTTCTGTGAATACTTTTGAAGTCGGCAGTGATTTTTTTCTGACATCTTGAGCTATACACAGTTATGAGTGAAAGTGGGCTGCTTTGCATGTGCTTTGGGGGCCTCTCTGCCAAGTGGGTCTTCTGGAACATTCCAGCTGGTCTTATCCCTGTGAATCTCAACTCTCCCTCACCACACAGGAGGGGCCATGCAGGTATGTAAAAGGGGAAAAGGGTGAAATGGAGCGCGCCTATTGGGTGAGAAAGGGACCACACTGTGCTTACTTCAAAACCACAACAAGTCTGGGCAGGAACTGAAGGAGGATATGAAATCTGGAGGCTAAAATGCCAAGGGGAAAAAGAAGGAACTAATGAGGCAGTGGTTGCTGGGAGAGAGAGAAACAAGGAGTCTCCGCTTATCCTTGTGATAAGTCACCTTGACTTCTGCATGTGTGTTTGGGGGGGGTTGGGGGGGTTGGGGACTACAGGGGCAACACTTCCCACCACCGAGACCCACGAATGTGGAGCATTTTATCATCCAAAGGCAGAGAGACATGCAGTGTGAGCTGGAATCTCAGCCTCCCACTGCCCAGTAGGTTCAAATAATGACCTGAAGGGCTTTCAGAACCCCGCATCCCACATCAGGATTGGAGGGAGTGGTGGATCAAGGGGGTGGAGGGGACTGAAGAATGTGCCCTTCCTGTCCATTTCACAATTTTGATCAGCTGTGTGTGGGCTAAAGCGCAGCCATCAGCAGGCGGGCTGGCTGGTGACACCTGTTCTGGTCCAGTTGTCTCATTTCACAGACTGAGGCCCACAGAGGTTAAGAGGGTTGTCCAAGGTCACACAGCCAGTCATACAAATCCAGGTCTCTTGGTGGCCAGCCTGTGGCTCTTCCTACTCAACATCTCCAGTTCTCGGTTTAAAGCAAGATGGAAAATACCTGGACACTTTCACAAGGGTGAAGAAAATGGGTTCTCCGTGAGTCTGGAACACAGTCAGAAATGCAAAGAGAAAGCAAGTGACTCCTGTGCATGTTCATAGTGAGAGCTGGCAAGAGATCTGTGGCCCAGTGCAAGCTCAGAGAAGTTCAATCCAGGGCCAAGAAACAAGGCAGTTCATTTTTTCAAAGCTCAGCACAGTTAGAAAACAGCGTGTTCCAAAACAAATAAGTTTTGTTTTTATTCATTTCATTGTTTTTGACCTTACTGTTAACCCAAGACCTTGTAATTGTTGTTATTTTTACAAAGTTTTTATCATGGTTAAAAATTCAGTTCCCAACATAGTAAAAAATGTATTGTTCTTTTTTAAATGCCTGGAGTCAAAGCATCCCCTGTTCCTGGACCAGGGTGTCACCGAGCACTGAAGAGGGGGCACCTGTGTGCCTGGCAGTGGTGTTCCATGTGGGTAAGGGAGGCAAGCCTGCTCGGAGTGAGGCTTTACTGCGTCTGGAGCCAGGGCTGGGCCTGGGGTGCAATGCATGACTCAGAGGCCGGCCTACCTCTAGGTCCCTAACAAGTTCGTTCAGATACCTGGTTTCTCTCTGCAAACCCCAACGCAGTAAAAGAACAGGGACTTGTAACCTCCTGGGAGCTCCCCTCTACAGAGTTCCTGAGACACTAAATTCATTTAGTGCCCTGAGACACTAAATTCATTTGGGTTTTAACCCCAAGAAAGAGATTTCATCTTCATGACTAGGTGGGACTTCAGGGGGCTTGGAGGAGGTCGACCAAACCCAGAGCTGCCTCTCTGGTGCTACTGGAAGAAAGTCCAGCCAGTGATAACACTCTCCCCCCCCCAACCCCGCCAACATGCTCAACTCCATACTGTTTGGGTGCGCCTAGTGCTAAAATGCCTTTTTAGCAGGTCCTGCCCACCAACATCAGACATCACGTAATATATTGGGTTGTCAGAAAAATGACATTTTTTTTTGTTTTTCAAGCATCATGACTTTTCTGACAACCCAATAGTTCCGCTCTTGCAGTTTGGTTGGTGCAAACACACTGGGGAGTTCAAGCCATGGGATCTGAACACCTTTATCTAGGCAAGGTTCGTCTTCCCCAGGTTTTCTGGTCTCTGACCCCTTCTCTCATCTCTGGCCCATTCCCTCCACCACAGCTCCTCAGCCACTTGCTGTTTCCACCTCTGATCGGTGTGTCCTCCTGCCCTGTCCTTTCCTGGGCCTTCCTTTCTGATCTGTTGCCCAGTCTTACCGTCTTTTCACACCCTCTCAGTTTCCCCATTCCTGATCTACCAAATCCACATCCCTAAGCAAATCTCCACCCTCCATTCCCCAACCAAAGCCCAAACCAGAGCCTTTCCAGGAGGCCCCCTGAATCTCCCCTTTCCTTTGAAGCTCTTTCTTGCCCAGGCCATGGTCACTACCTGTCCCGGGGGGTTCTCTAATTCCCTTCCCTTCCCAGTGGGATGAGCTGGGGAACTGGCAGCGAGTCCACAGTCATTCCCCCAAACAGCAGGGCTCCTGCAGTACAGAAAAAACACAGACACAAAGGAAAATCTCAGCTGTGTTTTTTGAATGGGGGGTTCATTCCCCAGCAGGGTTCCCAAACTCAATTTAGTGGATTGCAACCAATATGAAAAAGAGCAAAAGAACGAACGAACGAGAACAGAGGGCGTGACCTGTAGTGAGGATACGTGTTGTTTGGTGACATTTTTGGTTTGGTTGTTTCTGTGTATATGTGTTTGTTTCAAATCTCAATGTGAACTATTCTAACTGTAAGGTGCAGTCAAAATATGTTTGAAACTCTTCTGATCTACCAGAGAACCAACCAGAACCCTCAAGATAAATGATTGGAAGTGAAGGGACGGTTAAGGGGAGGTGGTTAAGGAAATTTGCATTATTATGGGTGCTCAGAGAGCCCTGGTTCCTCCTTTAAGGGCTCCAGGTGGGCCTATTCTCCAGGCATTTGAGAGAGTGAGGTGGGGGAAGGGAAGCTCAGAGGGAAGGTGTGTAGAGACTGCCCAGGTCACACCCAGCTCTCCAACTCAAATGTGTATATAAATCAAAGACTGGAATCTAAATTCTTTGTAATCACTGTCAAAAGAAAATATAAGTGGAACATGGATCTGCCAGAGAATTTTCCACGCAGCCCCTTCTGCTATTTCTCCAGCCCATAAAATAAAACCCAGAGGACAGGTCCGATGGGAATGGAGTCCAGCCAAAGTTTGGAGATCCAGTAGCTTCTTCAGTTGGTTTATCAGCTGCTACTGCTTAAAGTGCAAAGAGCACGCATCTGGTCCCTTGGAGAGGTGGTCCACGGCCCGCATACCCTCAGCTTGGAAGCCTTTGCCCAATCTTGCAGTTACTGGCAATAAAAGGTGAGCACGTTTTCTTGGTTTCCACGGATCAGAATGACTGGCGGTCTGAGGTCCTGGGACAGCGTCTCCAGCCAGGCCATGTACAGTGAGCTCGGGCACTTCCCCTTCCTCCCTATGGGTAAGGTGCTGCAAAGCAGGAAGAAGCAGCAGGCCAGAAATTACCAAGGGTTCTTCCCACCCAGCCCAGCTCCTGGTTTGCTCTCTTTATTATCCCCTTCAAAGCTCCTTCTTCCAAGCCATCCTACGAGTGACCTTCTGCTCTTCTTTAAAGCATGCTACAAATGTACCCTCAGCTATAAGCATTTCTGAGCAATGCCATGGACTCTAAGACCCATAATCTGGTTCCCAACAGGGTCCCCAACCTCACCTCCTATCAACCTCAGCCTCACTCACACTTCTACCTCCATGTGGTTTTCTTTCCATTCTTGAGAAGAAATGGCAGGCTTGCTCCTGCCTCAGGGCCTTTGCACATGAGGTTGCCTCCCTGCAGAAAAGCTGGTTGGCTCCTTTAAATTACTCAGGTTTAGCTGATCATCCTCTCCAAAGCAGGCTTACCATCTCATTCATAACATCTTGCTCCATTCCTCATAGCACCTCACACTCAAAATCCTCTATTTATTTATTTGTTATCTGTTTTGTCCCCACTAGAATATTTATTCACTCCCACATAGCTGGGTCAGTCTTGTTCACTGCCCTTTCTTGTGTGCCCAGGACATGGCCCCCAAGGAGCTGGGCTGTCAAGTGGGTGATCCCACCCCATCAGGCCCCTTGAATGAAATCAGTCCTGCTTCTCCAGCCACACGTCTCCGCTTATGGCCACAAAAACAGGACACATTCATGTATTTCAGCTGAGTGTCCCTGTCGTGGTTCTGCCCTGTAGGTAACAATGAGTGTCCCTGTCCTGGGTTCTGCCCTATAGGTAATATGAGACCCCACTTTCCCTTTGGAGGGTCCCTTGTCTGAACTGCAAATAACACAATGCCCTGTGGGTGCTACTCAGCCATATTTTCATGGTTATTTCAGGAAGTGACTTTCCACCCTCTTGAGGTTCCAGAAATGCATTGGGATGGCCGCAGCTGCCAGGCTCTTGGAGAAAGCAGTGTCTTACAGACCCAGCAAGTGTCACGTGATGTGGGGGGCACCAGCACCTTCCGTGGGACTGTGCTTTAGGTATGTTTGTTTTCCCAAAGAATACCCACAGCCATTTTTTCATCCAAACCTCAAAACTACCTTGGAGATTGGCACTACTCTGCCCTTCCTCCAGTCGAGGGAACTAGCAGAAAGGGATGCCATGTGATGTCACTTCACAGGGCAGAGAAGCTACAAGTCTTGGCAATGCCACTTCCTCGGTCACGTGGCTTTAGCAAACGGCTCACTGACTCAGTTTTCTGTTCCTTAAAATGAGGACACACAACCCTCCCTCTGAGGATGTTTGTGAGCTCTTAAGAAGACAGAGCACCAGGAGTTGCCAAGGGACGCCTGGCACAAGGATGTGATTGCCTCCTCTCAGCAGCAGCCATTGTCATTACTTACCAGCTCGAGGCCACCACACCCAGGAGTGACTGAGCCGGTGCTTGAACACAGGCCCTGAGCTCTTCCCAGCAGCTTCTCTGTGCACTGCAGCCCCCAGCTCCATCGAGAAGGCAACCTGAGGCCCCTCAAGAATTGCCCTTGACTTAAAATACCATCCTGGAAACTTCACTTGGGACAACCACTATCCTCCTTTAAAAAGTAAGGTGCAGCAGACCCCTCCTGTCTTGCCCACTGCTCCCCTCAGTAGTGTATTTCAGTAGATCAGCCTGTTTTGCTCCCCATTCTGTCTCTGGTGACTCTTCTCAACCCCTGCAGCTCAGGCCTGCACCCCAGTTCTTGTATGCATAAATAAATAAAATAAATCTTTAAAAAAAAAAAAGCAAGGTTCCCAGATTGGGGAGCAGTGGGGTGTTACGGTATTACGCTTGCTTCACCTTAGCCAGAATGTGTTGGTGTTTGCTGACTTATGAGGGCGAAGGGAAGTAGATAGGAAGGTTGAAACCAAATCCTGCTGACTTAACAGTTATGCTAAAGGTTGAAAATGCCTTCTGGGGACTGCTCCATGTCTCAGGGATGGAATTCAGAGACTTCAGAGGCCACAAGGGGCTGGTGGCTGCATTAGTAGGGGCAGAGAACACCCATCACTCCTGTCCTGGCCTTGTAGCTTTGGCACGAAGTTCCAGAGACCGACACCCCTGACAAGCACCCAGGCCAATCAAAGACTTTCTGTTCCTGCTCAAGGGCTGTGCAAGCTTTAAGCTACTTATCTGGAAATAAAGCTGCTTCCAAACAAAGAAACTATTTTGTTCAGAATTGCATCTCTGCCATGAAGAAAGGCAGAGTTGGAGCTAACCTGGGTGTAGAACAATAACCCTGTGGCAGAACTGTCTCCCAGGCCTCAAGACTTGACCCTCTCTTCTCAGCTGTGAGACCTTGGGCAAGTTGCTGAACTCCTGTGAGACTAAGTTTCCCCATCTCCAAAATGTGTCTCTCCCAGGAGACAGCAGGGTTAAAACAGAACCACCTCACAGTGTTTGGAGAATGACTAAAGCCCAAAGCCCAGTATGTCATACAGGCTCAGTCAATAAAAGGCCACGACCATCACTGGCATCGTCATCCTGGGTGCTCCAGGGCCCGTGGGGTCAGTGCAGTACTGAGGTGATTCTTACATTTGACTTCAAGGAGGAGACTTTTCAGAAAAAAGAAGTGTCTAGGTCTGAAAATTAGTCCAGGGACAAGTTGTTGGTCTTTTCAAAGCTGCTGGGCTGGCCACAGGGTTGGTTTGCATCTGTGTGGGTGCAGCTGATGGCAACAGGCACATGAAGCAGCTGGTGGTCGCAGGCAACCGCCCAGGCTGAGCAACCAGCTCCCAGTGTGCCCCCTGAGATGCCGTGTGGTGTTGTTCTGTCATTTTGCTCAGGTTTGGGAGGACATTTTCGTCCTCAGAATTTCTGGGGAATTCAGGTTCCTGAGCCCAATCCCCATACTCGGGAAGGAATTGAGGAATTTGCCATTTTCCACAATCCTTGGTAGTTCTGATGCAGGAGTCCCTTGGAGGGCACTTTTGGAAGGACCCAGATGGAGATCAGAGGCAGCTGCTGTCCTCTTCCAAGGCAGCTGCTGTCCTCTTCCAAGGCAGCTGCTGTCCCCTCCCAAGGCAGCTGCTGTCCCCTCCCAAGGCAGCGGGCCTACAACAGGCCCCTCCTGGCAACAGCTGTAGCTGCCCGCTCCGGGTGGGCCACAAGTTCAGGTGTCTTCTCGAAGGAAGGCACCTGGATCTCCAGTGTTGGTAACAGCTAATCGCACAAAGGCTGTGGGTGGGGTTTGCCTTTCCCCAGGAGGTGGGGGCAGTTTGGGGGAGGGCAGCAGCGTCAGCAGGTGGTGACCTCCAGGGTGAAATTTCTCATTTTAGGGCTTGACAGACTCACTCCTTTTAGTGGCAACTAAACTTAGAATCATAAGTTGTTGGAATCAAAGAGTCTTGAAAATAACTTCTCCGTAGTTTTCTCTATAATCGGGGAACGAAGGATCATAGAAGTGGAGTTACTTGCCCAAGGCCACAGAGACCAACACCAGCCTGCTTCTCTGAACAGAGGGGCCATCATGAGGAGGTGGTTTGGCACTTATGCATGCCCCAGGGGGCACCCACCAGATACCTCCCACAAGAAAAGATCTGGGGAGATGCCCTTGCTGGGGAAGCCTTCCCACTGCCTTGTACTCTGACCTAGTCCACAGCCAGGCCAGCCTCGCCCTAAGCACACTCATTCTCTGCAAGGTATTGGCCAGAGGTTTGGAGATAAATTCAACCCCCTTCCTTGTCATGGTTCCTATATCAAAGGCGCCATGGAGCACTTTTTCTGTGCAAAAACTGATCTCCTTCAAAGCCCCAGGTAGCATTGACCCAAGCCCAGCCAGCTTCGTGGGCAGCACAGCCACAGCTGCCATCTCCCCTCCTCACTTAAACTGGGTCCCATGCTGGGGTTAACACTCTGCTGTCACCACCATGACATTCTTAACAATTTCTCAACAAGGGATTCCACAATCACAATTTTCAACAGCCCTAAAAATTATACTCTTGGCTTCAGGGTATGAGAAAACAGGTTCATCAGGATTCTTGCTTATCCTGCAGAATTCCCAGGCTGCTAGGCCTCAGGGGAAATGTAAGAAAGGCCACTTGTTTGCCTCAGCCAGCAAACACCCTCATTCCTCCTGAGCTGGGACCCGCTCTGAGGGGGTGTCAGGGGCTTGGCTGACCACGTTCTTCCTCCTGGTCTCCAAGAAAGAGCCACATTGGGGCCCTCTCTGAGCCACTGTCACCTTCCATTCACTCAGCCTTGGCCCATTCCTACCAGCAAGGCACGTAACTGGACACAGGGAGCAGCCATGGGAGCCGAGGGTCTCGCGCATGGAGCTGGGGAACAGCGGGACTGGGCAGTGCGACCTCTGCTGCCCTGGGCTTGGCAACAACGTCACTTGAGGGTGGCCGATGGCCAAAAAGTGCTGGGTGATTCCAAACAACCTGGAATGGCTTTTCTTCTGGAATGAGCTGGGCTCCCTTTGCCAAGCCGAGTTTGGCAGAGGAAGGTGACAAACCAGAAAAAAGCAGCAACAAGAGGAGTCATGAGGCCGGGACATCACATCTGAGGCCCTGCAGTCCTACAAGTGGGGCCACAGGTGAGGGTCATGGGGCAGACGCAGGCCTGCACACGTGCTGAGAGGCTTCCTGGGCTGTTTACAGGAGCTGTGGCCACTGGGCCTCCTGGTCAAGGTTCTGGTCTTCCTCAGTGGGGCCCGGCTAGACCTCAAGCCCCTTCCAGAGCTCACTCCTGGCCTTGGCGACAGCCTCCCATCCCATGCTACTTACATGACGACGAGGGCAGCGTCTCGGGAATAATCCAGCAGAATCTCGTTCAGTCTCACCTGCCGGAGGGACTGGGCAACAAAAGCCACCTGGTCACTCCCCACATCCTGGTGAGTGAGCCCCTAACTAAGCTTAGGGGCCTCTTTCAACGTTTCAAACTGGATGCCTGAATTATTAGACTCTCCTGCCTCTGAGAAGGAAGGGAGCCTCACCTCTTTGAGAAGCTCTCCTTGGATTTTCCTTGCCTGACCTTATAACCATGGCCAGCAGGCTAACGGGGTGGGGGAGAGACCACTTTACTTGGTGTCAGAGCTGGGTTAGGAGCTCCGCTCCGACAGTTCATAGCAGAGCAAACCCGAGCAAGTCACGTTGCCTTCCTGAGCCTCACTGTCTCCATCTTTAAAGTGGGTATGATGTCCTCCCCAGGAGAATTGAAAGCTTCAAAAGAGGTAAACTTTGCAGAAGCACTGAACAGAGGCCTGGCACATGGAAAGCATGGAAGAAAAGTGGACTCGGTGTAGGGGTAGAATGTACCAGCACCTCCGTGGCAGGGCAGGCAAGAGTCTTCTTTGGATGCTATACTTTACCCAGCATTTTCCAAGGAGCTGGGCGGGGTAAACCCCGGGTGGCAGCAGCTCGGGGCTGATAAATCAGAGTGCTCCCTAAGTTTGTGTGAGGCTGGGATGTGGGGAGCTCCCTCCTACCTCAGGTTCCCACATTTGGAAATGATTGGCACTCAGGGTTTCACAGTGGATGGAACCCCCATTTTAGAAAATGGAAAACTGAGGGGAAGTAAGTTAACCTAGATCAGGGATTCTCCACCTCCCACTACTGACATTTTGGGTGGAATATTCTTCCTTGGGAGAACTGTTTGGTGGGTTCTGGCCTGTTCAGCAGCAGCCTGGCATCTGCTCACTCAGTGACAGTAGCAAATTCTATCCCCAGGGGTGACAGCCAGAAAAGTCTCCAGACATTCCCAGATGTCCTCTGAGGACCCAGTTGCCCCCAGTCAGGGGAGGGGGCCACTGACCCAGAGCACACAGGACTGTGGGGACCCCTTTAAATGATCACAGTGGCCACCATGCTGCTGTTACCCTCCTTTGATTCTTGCAGAAGCTTCTGGGAACGGGGTATCTGAGGCAGGAGTCTATAGGCCTAGGAGGAAGGTCAGCCAGCTGTGTTGACCCACTGGACAAATTCTACCTTGACCTTCAGTACCATCTCATGAATCCCTCCCACAGGGCAAAAAGGAACTGGGGGAAGAGAGAAGGCTTCCGGGAAGCCATTGTCACAGCTCTGGGGAACTCAGAACAGGCAGGGAGATCTGCTTTCATGCTAGGGATGGCTCTGCTCCACCGCTAGGCCACCTGCCAGTCCCAGCATTTGTGGCTTGAGGATACCCTGAGGGTAGGGTGTAGGGGGATCAAGAAGCTCAGGACAGATGGACCCCTGGCTCTGATGATGGAGTGGCTGCAGCCACTCCTGTCCCATCCTCCCCAGCAAGGCCCTCCTCTCAACTGCACCTTCACTCTGTTCTTGTTAATCTCCTCGTCCGAGATCTTCCAGGGGCAGTCCCTCCTCATCTCGGTGACGGTGGCCTCGTCTTTGAAGCCATCATTCAGGCGGAAGGGCGCGATCATATCCTCAAACCGCTTGGTGCTGGGATGGAGAGAACAGAGGAGATGGGGTGAGCTGGCCCTGGGGGGATCGGAAGTGGGTGCCCAGGGACGTCCACCTTGACCCTGCCATTTACATCAAAGCAGCTTCTGTGGTGAGCTCAGCCTGGCACGCAGATGAACTTCCATAGGTATCCAGGAGCCTGACCAGGATCCAGCTTCAACCCGCCCCGACCCTCCTGATATTTACTGAGCCCTGCTCTGCACCAGGACCTGTGCTGCATGACAAACCAGCAAACGTCCCCTCTCCTCACAGAGCTCAGGGGCCGAGGGTGCCTTCCTTCTGCAGCCAGGGGTCTAGCACCCCTCAGCCCAGGGCAGGGTTGCCTCTGCCTGGGCCCCAAGGAGGAGATGCTCCCCAGCCCCGCCTTTCCTGTGCTTCGGGGCAGGTGGCTCTGCCTCCCGGGCCACTGCCAACTGAGTCAGAGGTAGCCAGGATATGGGCTTTACTTTAACCTCCGCCTTGGCCGGCAAGAAGGGATGGGCTGGCCCCTTCCAGGTACTTAAATCAAGCAATGCCTGGAGGAGGTGGCAGTTTGTAGTGGAGCTGGCACTGCAGGGAAGGTCAAGACGCAGTGGGCAGAGCCACAGACCCAGCAAGCACTGAACACGGGCTCTGGGCCGGACGCCAGTTACGTCCTAGACAAGGATTGTCTGTAATACTGTGGTTCTCAAAGTAGGGTGCCCAGGCCAGCACCTGAGAGTGCATTAGAAATGCAGATTTTCAGACCTTGCCCCAGACCTACTGACATGGAATCTTGGGGTAGCACCCAGTAGGCTGTTTTCACAAGTCCCCTGGGTGATGCTGACACATGTGCAGGTTGGAGAACCACTGCTTTGTGAAAACACTCTGGGGTTAGAGAAAATTTAGGAAACCAGTCCCCTTCGTAGGTAAAATCAGTCATTTGTGAGTATCCAGCAGCTTGGGCTCGTGAAAGTGACGCCGGGGACTCCTTTAGTCCCCAGGTCAGGGGGTGGGTTTCAGGGGCCCCTGAGGATGAGACGTGACATCAGCCTCTTGTCCAAGTGACAGAACAGCAAGAGCCTAAAAATGCTGGCTCTAAGGCCAGCACGAACAGGGACAGGCATGGCCCCCCACACAGGGGCTTCTGGCAGAGACCAGGGCTCTGGATGCTGGGGACCAGAGGCAGGGAGGAGGAGGGGAAACATGAAATAAAAATAAATGGCCCCAACCCCCCTCCCCATTCCTTTTTCTTTCCATGAGCCTGCAGCTAGGAGGGCACACCCTGCCGCGGCTCCCCTAGAGAAAGGGGCCAAGGGGCTGCAGAATCGGCAGGACACACCACGCGCCCTTCTGCTTGGAAACTAAATGAATTTAGAGCACTCACTGCTCAGCCCGGGGCTTCTGGTTGATGTCGGGGAGAACATGAACTTCATGGAACCCTAGTCGGAACTTGCTCAGCAGAGAAATGATCCTGAAAGACATTTTTTAAAATGGATTCATTCATGCAATGAATTTTTCTTGAGAGCCCACTGAAGACATAGCAGTGAGCAAAACACACCCTGCCCTCGTGGAGTTTACGTTCCAACTCAAGAGGGGAGCAGGCAATAGGCGAGTGTTGATAAAGTAGGTTGGAGGATGGCAGGTGACATGACAGTGTTTCCCAAGCACTTAGTGGTCCCTCTGTGGTAAGCAGCTCACATTCTAATGTGTCACGATCGGCTGGGATTTTTTTAAAAGGTTTTATATATATATATTTTTTGCTTAGAAGAACTAGGGTGCAGGCCAGAGGTGCAGGGGAGTGGTGAGAGCATTCACCAGAGACAGAGTGGGGAGCAGAACAGGCAGATCTGCTGAAATACACTGCTGAGGGGAGCAGCAGATGATACAGGACTGGTCTGCTGTGCCATGTGGGTCAGTTCCCATGTGGCTGGGGATTGAACTCAGCCCACAGCAGAGATATGGTGATAGCACTGAGACTTAACCCTTAGGCCAATAGGGAGGACCCTACTGGGGATCTCGTTAAAGAGCAGATTCAGATTCAGCAGGTCTGGGGTAGAGCCTGGCACTCTGCATTTCTAACAAGCTCCCAGATGATGTGCGATGCTCTGGTCCAGAGACCACACTTCCAGCAGCGAGGGAAGGGCTTGGAGCTGCAGCACATCACGGGGTAGTTGAAGAAACAAATCCAGCACACATGGTCTATGTACAGCACTGGGACTTGCAAGCCATGTGGCCCTGACTTGCTTCCACCAGGAGACAAGGTGCCAGCTGGGGAATCTCCCCAAAGGAGGTGGCAATCTGATTGGGCAGTGCAAGCTGGGTAAGATGGCGATAGGGCAAAGGGGAAGGGGGGGCCCCACTGAAAGCCCGCACAGCCTTCTAAACAATATACCTGCCTTGGCCTTAGCCCACCCGTTGCATTAGAATCCCTGGATGGGACATAAGTTCGGTGATGCCCAGGACAGGCTGTCAAGACGCAAGGAAAGTAGGTGGGGAGTACAAATGAGCAAAGGCATGGGGCGGGGCTGCAGCAGGAGGGGGCGGGGGATAGGAAGGTGAGGGAGATGAGCCTAAAGGACCAGGCTGCGGCCACTGCTGGCCCCAAGATGTGGGAGCGGAATTAAGAAAGCTGGGCTGTGGGCAGACATCTGGGTGTGCAGCGTGGGGTTGGCAGACCTGAGTGGGGCCTGGGCAGGAGGCAGAATAGGTCTGGCCTCGGGGTGGCCAGGAGGGTAGGAGACATGCCCTGTCAGGGGGGCGGCAAAGGCAGCTTCACAACCTTCTATAACGGTTGGCAACCCAGGCCTTGATGGCCTTGAGTTAAAATGAATCTGCTGAGCCCAGCGTCCCTGGGAGCTGGGCCAGGAGCTGAGATGTCAATGTGGCCTTCGGCTTCACGGTTTCTTTAACTTTTACAGATCAGAAAAGTCAGGCGCTGCCTGTAGGAGAATGAAGAGACTTTTTTCTCTTTGGCTAATTCATTGCATGATCTTGGGGAAACTACCCATTGTTCCCAGCCCCAGCCCATCTGCACTCTCCAGCGACCCTCCACCCTATGACCTCTGACCTCCCTTGACCTTGCTCTAAAGCAGCAGTTGCCCAGCTCTAGGCCCAGGCTGAATTCCTGCTGCCTCCACACCTGTTAACCTACCTTGCTATTTACTCCCCTTTCCACTCACAGCCTACCCGGACACATTTTGAAAGGAAGTTTCATATCAGAATTTTCTCTTGCCAGAAAGAGATGAGCAATAAAACCCAAGTAAACCAGTGTCATTGAATTCTGGCCGTGGGTCCTTGCCTACCACCCCGGGCCAGGCCTAGATGGGGAGATTTGCCTGCGTTATCAAGCAGACAGACCTGCAGAAACAGCTGCAGGACTGGAGGACAATTAAACGTCACTTCTCACCAAGAGATTTGGTGGAAGGTTGTCCTGTGTCCTGGCCACAAATGTCACCACCCTTCTCACAGGGAACAAGCTCAGAGAGCGTCACCCTGGGAGAGTCTAAGCTCTGAGCTTCTCCCTCCTTCATTTCACACAGGTTTCTCCTTGAGAAAGTCTGTGCTTTTAAATTTTCATACCCACCCCGGCCAGGGCTAGGGCAGCTGCATGGGTACTAAAGGAGGGGTAGGGAATGGACAGCTTCTGAAATGGAAAGAAACCTACTGCTGCCCAGTGCCCTGCCACCACTGCTGTGACCTGGAGAGAGCTGGGCCCACGGGGATGTTGGAAGGAAGGGGAACAGGAGATGGACCCTCAGATGGAGCTGGCATGGCCCTGGCTCTCCAGGGGCCCCACACCGGCACTCCCCACTTACGCCTTTCTCTCCTGGTCCATCCTGTTGATCTGGCCCCCCACGAACACGCGGATCTTGCATTTGCCCCATCTTTTCTTGCGGCCAAGGAGATAGGGGATGAGGAGGGTGAGGCCTGGCAAGGAGGGTCCCCATGAGTCAAGAGGAAAATGCTCAGCCACCAGCAAACCCCTTCCCTTCTTTGGGCCTCAGTTTACCCATCTGTATAGAGCGCACCGGACTAGACTGGTAGAGGCACAGAGGATCCTCTCAGCCGGGGCTCATTTGGAGCTGCATGATGTTTCCTATAGCGAGCTGGTATTTAATAATTAGGGGATTTCACATGAAAGTCTAGATCACCGGCATTTCTGGAGACTGAGAATTTTAGCAGTGGGCAGGAGTCTTCCAACCTCTCATCTCCCCACGTGAAGCCAAGGACCACAACTGTCACTTGTCACTGCATAACCTTAGGCATGTTACTTCCCCATTCTGTGCCTCAGTTTCCTTATTTGTGAAGGGGCTCATAGTGCCTACCCAGGGATGCTGACCTGTGAAAAGCATATGTGTCAAGCACACAGCAAGTGCCCGGTCTCTGCTAGTGAGGCTAACAGGGCCTGTCCGATTACAGCAGAAACAAGCTCTCTCTGCCTCCACCCTATCAAAGGTCAGACGATAAAAGTGAGAGTTGTGTGTCTTAAGAAAAAAATGAGAGAGCATATTTTTTTGAGAAGTGAAGAATATTCTCTCAGCTTTCCTCTACCTCGGCCCAGCTCCCCATCTATGTCATGTGCTATGACCTTGAGACCGTCCAGTCTGAAGGCTCCATATCCCCTGTCAAGTCCCCCATTTTACAACTGAAAACCTGGAGGCCAAGAGAGGAGCCAGTCTGAGCCCAGTGGTAGGCTGAGAACCCTAATTCCTCTTTTCTGAGCTTTGGGGTCCCACCAGTGGCCTTGTTGAGAGCAGGCAGGAAGGACAGGCCTGGGGAGATAGAGGCCTGGAGGGAGCTGCCCCGGGAGAGCCAGGCAGACCCTGGGGAGACTGACCTCCATCGTCGAACAGCCAGTAAATGTCGATGGTCTTCTTGCCCTGCTCCGACTGGAAGATGGTGCTGGCCTGCTCCTCCCGCACCAGGGCCTCGGGGTCCACTGCAGGGCCAGAGGGGCTGGTGACCCCAGAGCAGCGCACAGGCAATGCCTGCATTGGGCTGAAACCGAGCCAGCTCGCCTGGCCTTTGGAGAGCAGCCCACTGCAGGGAGATAGGGGTTGGGGGAGGTCCCCCACTGCCGCCACCACTACCAAGGGCCCTGCAGCTGCTGCTGAATCTCCAATTCTCGGTAGGTCAACCAGGAGCAGGGTCCTGGTGGCTCAGTGCTGGGACTCACCCCTCCCACTTTCTCCTTCCATGAATCCACTTTCTCCCAGGATTCATGAGCATTGGGTATATTCTAAAATTTCCTCTGGGCCCCGCAAAAATGCCTTGAGGATGCTCTCAGTTCTTGCACTGTCGGTTTCCCCAGCCTCTCAAGTGGGAAAGGACTGAAGAAGAGAATTTTCTCCCCTCCCCCAGAAGCATCTGAGCATGGCCAGAGGCCCTGGAGGAGGCAGGACACGGGCCCAGAGCCCACAGAATGGGCTCCCACTATGGCCCCAGCACGGCTGGCAATGACAGTCTTTCATACTGTCCGAGCTCCCCTTTTAACCCGCACCCAAACCCCCAGTTATCTGACCCCATGGGGTCCTGGGTACCACTGTCACAAGGATAAAACCTCCTGCCTTTGCCCGAGTTCCTGAGTAGCCCACCACCAGCCCCCCAGAATGTGAGAGCCCCCTGAGCCTCTGAGTGGGGTGGGGACTGACGTGTGCCTGAGACAGACGGCCTGGCCCTGCTGGCGCTGGCTTCCTTGCGGTCCTCTGCAGGGTCAAACACGGGGTTAACTGCAAGAGAGGGGCCAGCTCATTTCCCAGGCCCTCTAAGCCCAGGGCACCTCCCCATCCCCCCAGTCGGACTTCTGCTTACACTAGGAAGGAAGTCCCAACCTCTTACCTCTGCCTGACCTGTCCCTGCTCCCTGGACCTGGCCTTTCACACTCCAGCCCCCCCTGCCAGCTTCTTTCTTCTCCTCACTCAGGCTTGCTCATTCCCAACCAGGCCTCAGTGGTGGTGGACGTTCCCTGGGACAGGAGCACTCTTTCCCAAAGCTCCCTTCTCAGCAAAAGACCTCCTCCTATGAGAAGCCTTCCCTAACTACAGCTCTCTGTCGAATTTTTTAGGACACTGTCGCTATCTGAAATGGCAAACAGGGCCACTTATTATGTATCTGCATTTCTCATGGAACATCTGCTCCCCAAGGACAGCCATTGTTTTGTTCCCTGCTGCGGCCCCAGCACCTAGAATAACCTAGAACCATGTGGAGCAGGAGCACGGTTGCAGCTCTGTAAATACCGGTTGCACAAATATTCCCGGAACAACTTCTCTGTGCCAGGTGTGTCCTGGCTGGTGCTGTTGTCAAGAAGCACCAGGTTCACACTTTCCATGTCCCCACCCCTCCCCCACCCCTGCAGATTTGTTTTCAAACATGTTATTTCGTTTACACATCTACTCTTACTAATTCAAAGTCTGTAAATTCACGTGAGTTTAAAAAGTGAAACAAGTCTCTATTTGGTGCCTGGATGATGGTCTCAGATGTCCAGTTTTCATATTCTAGTGTTTTCTTTTTTTTAAGATTTATTTACTTATGTATACAAGAGCTGGGGTGTAGGCCAGAGGCATGGGGGGTTGTGGGTGAGAGGATTCACCAGAGACAGAGTGGGGAGCAGAACAGGTGGACCCACTGAAATACACTGCTGAGGGGAGCAGCGGGGAGACAGGAGAGGTCTGCTGCGCCATGTGGGTCAGCTCCCTGGCTGGGGATCGAACTCAAGCTGCAGTGGCTGCCGTTATCTTCACAGTGCTGCGACTTAATCCCTTGAGCCACCAGGGAGGTCCATATTCTAGTGTTTTAGTGTTTTCTTTTGGGCCTTCTCCTCCCCCCTTTTCCTCTCTTCCTCCCTATTTGACATATTAACCCGTCTGGTGACTGATGGGAAGTCAAGGAGTTCCGAGTTCCAGCCCCGAGTCTGCCCACAGCTGGAGACATGACTTTAAACTGGTCATTCCTCTTTCTATGCTTCAGTTTCCCTACTTGGAAACATGATGAACTTCCAGGAACCACTGAACACCGACTCTCTAAGAGCCCGTAGCCTTTGATTCCCACTAAATTTCCCTCTCTTCTCCTCAAAAACAAAGGATTACTTAAAAACATTACTTAAAAACAAAGGATTCTAGAATATTTTGGAATCCTGTTCTGGTTTTGATGGGGGTTCCGAGCGGGTGGGGCCATACTCACTGTGGGCCTGCATCACATCCGAGACGTTGAGCCCCTCGCGCATCCTCATGACGCACACACCATAGTTGAAATCAAATGCATCGCTGGGAAGAGGGGAGGTGGGTCATGCTCCTCCCTGCCCCAGACCCCACAAGGGAGGTGACCCAGCCCCACAGACATCTAGAGTTGGCCTGCCTCTGACCAGCTCTATCTCCTTGCTGGGCCTCCTTGTGCAACGTGCAGGCAGAACCAGAAATCCCCACGACTCCTCTGGCTCTATGGCCTGCGGTGCTGTGGACCTGGTTACCCACACTCAGGGTGAAGCTGGGTCAGGCCAGCCTTCCAGCAGGCCCTGTGGATAATCCTCACAACTCAGCCAACAGCATGGGGATGGGACTTATTATCCCCATTCTACAGATGGAAAAACTGAGTCTGGGGAGGAACTTGCTCATGATCACACACTAAAAAGTGGCCAGTTGGCTTAGAATTAAACAATCCTCCAGGGCAGACATGCATAAAGGAATCACCTTGTTCATGAAGCACCAATTAGTTGTCTACATGGAATGTCTAGAAAATTCCTGTCCCAGAAGTATATTTACTGCCTGGTTGACACAGTGCCCAGGAGTCTAACAGGCTAAGCACTGCCTTCCTATACTCCTTCAACTCCATGTCTCTGGGGCAGCTTACCTTTCAGGCCCTGGCATTTTTGCATCTTGGAATGTTGGTGGAGAACCTGGAAAGTAAGTGTTTCGCCACCTCCTGCTGTCACTTTGCTAGAAGCAGCTGAGATGCACCATGCAGAGCCACACAGCTGGTCCGCAACTAGAAGCAGCTCCCAGGGGTCTAGCAATCAGCCTCGTGTTCTTCAACTGGTAGTGCACACTACCTCTCTCTACTCCACACAGAAAAGCAACTGAGGCTTGTAATTTCTAGATCTGACACAGTAAGAACTGAAGGAGATAACTGAAATCTCCAGGGAGTTCAGAACCCAGCCCCATTCCCCAAATTTATCACTTCCTTGGAGGTCTGGTTTCATTTCTTGCTCAGTGACACTACACTACCTCTACAACTGGCTCTTGGCAAGTCTTTAGCTGTTGATAGAGGGACACAAGGTTTTCGTCTGAAAACCACATTTTTAACTTTCTGAGAAATTAGATCCAGCAACACTAATTCTACATGTCTGCCTGGACACAACTGAACAGAGTCAAGGAGCAGCTGTGCTCTTCAGTTTGCCACAGTCTCCACTGGTCCCTGTGGTACCACATCTGGCTCACTTCATTGTGCTACCTGCCAGATCCCTGATGATCTTGGTGTCCATGACCCATAAATCAGAGTGGGGAACCCTTGTTCTGTCTGTTTATTTCTCAGTGACTCAGCTTCTTATAGTACTTTCCCAAGGCCTAGCAAACCCCCAAAGCCCAAATCCACAGACCCTAGGCCCTGCCTCTGGGTGCCCTCACTCACTGCAGGATGCCTATGTAGTCTTCCACGGTGGCCGGGTGAGCTGACTGCCAGTTCTTCTTGAACCCAACCACCAGAATGTTGGGCTTCATTCTCCCGAGACCTGCAGCCTGTAGTGGGGAGAGGGGAGGGGTCAGTTGAGGGGCAGGGCTGGTGATCAGGGTCAAGCTCTGCAGGGACTCCTTGCCGTGACCAGTGAGGGGCTCTTATTTAGCTCTAGCCTCTCTCTCCACCTAGTGGTGAGGGCTCTGAAATACATCTCTCAGTTCAGAGTCCTGTCTGTCTGGACACACCCTGGAGGTCCGTGACTTTATAGCCCAAGTTACCCCTTTGGCTTCTCTAAGCTCAGGCTAATGACTAGACTGTCCCACTGGTCTGGGATGTCAACATTGGGGTATTCCTGTGTCATCCCATCCGTGCCTCCTTTCTGTGTCTTTCAATTTTGAAACATTTTTGAGATAAAATTCACATAACATAAAAGCAACCATTTTAAAGTGTATGATTCAGTGACATTTGGCATATGACCTCTGTCTACTCCCAGCATATTTTTATAACCTCAGAGACCTTGTACGCTCTTTTTTCTTAATTTTGTGAAACATTTAAAACGACTGAAAAGAATTTCCATATGTTGATTCAGAATTAACAATTGTTTTTCTATCTATGTGCCCTATGATATAGATGAGAAAATTGAGCAGTGGTGGAACGTTCTAGATCTTGATCTTCTAGGTGGTTTCATACCACTGAGTGATGTCTGTAGCTGTAAACATTTATCAAACTATATACTTCATTTTTTTTCACTTCGCTATCTATAAATTTTGTCTGAAAAAAAACCAAGAACTGCCCAAAGGCATGCAGCACCCCACAGGCTCCCAAGTCAGCTTCCCCAGGACCTGGATACCCCAAGAAAGTGCCCTTGGAGAGGCAAGAAGGGTAGAATTGCTGCTGCAAAAGGGGTTTCAACTTGACCTTCAGGTCGTCCTCCCTTCCAGGTGTGACACCAGGTAATCAGTCCTGTGGGCACCCCCCTGCCCCCGCCCCAGGCACCTGCATGAGGATCTGGACTCCGCTGCGGAGATCCTCCGCGATGATGTCCGAGTAGAAGGCCTTGATCTTCCTCTTGTTCAACCACTTGGTGTGCCCGTTGGCAATGAGCCGGAGCTCAGGCATCCTCTGTTTGCGGGGTCCCTGTGTGTGGTGGGGGTCATCACTGCCACAGCCCCACAGGCGGACACATCATCAATTACCGTCACCCTCCTACTGACCTGAGACCCAACCCCCTCCTGCCCTGAAGGGTTCCCTGTGGGCTCAGCAGTACCAGGGGCGGTTTTCCTTAGGGGGCAAAGTGGGGATAAAGGAGGAGGGAGGAGGGGAGAGGAGGAAGGAAGGGCAGTGGTGGGGAGGAAGCAGCTGTAACCCCTCTTCCCCCCACCCCACCCCTCACGTGGGTGGATAAGGTGCCCAGGTCGTTCCTTCAGGAGTCAGTCTGTGCCCCGCCTCCAGGGGGCACTCACGATAAGCACATGGCCACATATCATCAGGCTGAGGTTCCGGGTGAAGGTGCCCACAAAGTCCACCAGGGCTGGGCGAAAGTTGGGGGGCCCAGTGAGCACAAGGCACTGGGGGCTGGGGAAGGGAGAGGGCAGCAGCCATCAGGACAGGGTGAGGCTGAATGTCAAACTCAGACACCCCAAAGAGTTCCATTTCCTCCCAGGTTTCCCCTCCCAGACAGGTGAACCACCCTGGGCCTCCTCTTCCACCCACGACTCAAGGGACACTTTCAGGGCCCTATTAATTGTCCTGTGACCACCATATCGGGTGTCCTCCATCCTCTCTTCAGGTCACTAAACACACCACATGGGCAAGCGCCCAGCTCCCTGTTCCAGCTGATGTCTCTGCCCTGGCCCCACCCAGCATGGCCTGAGAAGAATGAAGGGGAGGCCTGTCACCTACAAGCTCTCTGTGCCACCTGGATGGGTGACTCAGCCTCTGTGTTGAGAGGCAACTATGGGTCACGGTCAAAGGCCACAACCAGAGTCAGTTGGAACCTGATGAAACTGACCAGCTGTGTGACCCAGGGCCAGTTACTTAACATTGCTGTTTCTAATGTCCTTCTCTACGAATGGGGTTAGGAGAATTGTTGTGAGGCTATGTGAGGAGATTAGCACCGCACCATAAGTGCAACATAAATGGAACCAATAATGAGCATTGAAACCTGGGGGGAGAGGGGTGGCATTGGCACATGATTCTCCAAGCCATGGAGGGGGTCAGCTTTGCAGGGTGTCCAGGAGAGGCTCTTCTCAGTCAGCCTCACCAGGGAATGACAGTACCAGCTGGGAGAGCCCTTGGCATTCACAGAGGACATTCCCCTGTGAAAACTGAGGCACAGGGGGTCACCCAACTTGCATGTCCGCTTCTGGCAGTGTCAAGTCCAGATGCCCGATGTTCAGACTGCTCCTCCACCTGCTCCCTCTCTGAGCGGGGGCTGTGCCCACACTATATCTGCTCAGAGCCTCCTGGTGCAGGGCCATGGCTGCCTGGGTCCAGGGCGTCACTCACCGGTAGTTCTTGATATGGTCCTCCACCTCGTTGAGGCCCACCGAGTAGCTCAGGGCCAGGTTGTAGGAGCCGGCCTGTACTGAGGAGCCCCAGTTGACCTCTGAGGATGGAGTGAGTAAGATTAGAAATCACCAGAATAAACAGATAGTCAGGAGTGGAGGTATTAGACCTTCTTTGGGAACTGAGCACCCATGGGAATAGGGCCACCTTGGGGGTGGGCAGCCGCAGGTCTGTTCCTAAAATGGACACCAACCACATCTATGTATTTCAAAGGCATTGACCTCTGGCCAGCAAACAGGCCTTCACAGGGATCTAGTAGGCGGAGTGCAAATTCAGAGTTCTAGGCTTTCCTGGAGTTCTGTTACCACCCTCCACCCTGACTGTCACCCCAGGATCCTTGCCTGTACACATGTACACACCCACACCTGTGTGTCCACACTTGGCCCACCTGCCATTCATGCCCCAGGCCTAGGTGTGTCCAGCAATCACCGGAGGATGGGCCTGAGCAAGTCCAGGGTCCTGGCTGTCAGGAGGTGTGATTAAATGTAGAGTGTGGCTGGGCCTCCCTGGTCATACAGGGGTTTAGTCTCAGTGCTATCAAGCTATTGCCAGCCACTGCAGCATGAGTTCGATCTCCAGCCAGTGAGTTGACCCACATGGCACAGCAGACCTCTCCTGTCTCCCTGCTGCTCCCCTCAGCAGTGTATTTCAGTCAGTTCACCTGTTCTGCTCCCCACTCTGTCTCTGATGAATCCTCTCACCCCCACACCTCTGGCCTGTACCCCAGTTCTTGTATGCATAAATAAATAAAAATAAATCTATTTTTAAAAAGTTGAGGGTGGGGCCTCGCCAGTGGTGCAGCAAGTTGAGCGCCATGCTGTGAAGCTGCCTGCAGCCTCTGCAGTGCAAGTTCAATCCCAGCCGGTGGGCAAGAATCCCACATGGTGAGGCAGACCTCTCCTGTCATGCCCACTGCTCCCCTCAGCAGTATATTTCAGTCTTTCTGCCTGTTCTGCTCCCCAATCTGTCTCTGGTGAATCCTCTCACCCTCCCGTGCCTCTGGCCTGTACTCCAGCTCTTGAATAAAAAATAAATAAATAAATCTTTAAAAAAAAAAAAGTTGAGGGTGGACTCCCAGTAAGAATGGCACATATCGGGTTTTCCCTGGTGGCGCAGCGGTTGAGCGCTGGGCTGCGAAGCTGCCCACGGCCTCTGTAGCACCAGTTTGATCCCCGGCTGCCGGGCGAGGGTCCCACATGGCGCGCAGACCTCTCCTGCCTCCCGCTGCTCCCCTCAGCAGTGTACTTCGGTCCTTCTGCCTGCTCAGCTCCCTGCTCTGGCTCTGGTGAATCCTCTCACCCTCCCGCGCTTCTGACTGTAACCAGTGCTTGTATAAATAAATAAATAAATCCTTAAAAAAAAAATAAAAAGAATGGCACATATCAAAAAAAAACTGGCAACAACAAATGTTGCAAGGATGTGGTGAAAAAGGAACTCTCCTGCATTGCCGGTGGGAGTGCAAACTGGTCCAACCACTATGGAAAGTTGTCTGGAGTTTCCTCACTCTACTAAAAATGGAGCTTCCATATGACCTGGCAATTCTACTCGTGGGGATCTACCCAAAGGACCCAAAAACAGTGATTCAAAAGAACACCTGTGCACCTATGTTTATCACAGCACTATTTACAATAGGTAAAACCTGGAAACAACCCAAATGCACAAAAATAGATGACTGGATCAAGAAGATGTGGTACTATACACAATGGAATATTATTCAGCAATCAAAAAAGATAAACCCATGCCATTCGCAGCAACGTGGATGGAGCTAGAAGGAATTATGCTCAGAGAAATAAGCCAGAAGGATAAACAAAAATATCAGATGGTTTCACTTATAACAGGAATATAGGAGAACCAAATAAGACATCAGTGTAAAAAATTAATGATAGTACAAAACACAACAAAGCAAAAACGGACAATTATAAACCAGAGACATCCTGCATGGGTGGAGGGAGAGGAATCAGAGGGAGGAGCACAGGGGACTGAGGTGATGGCACACGGGTGCATTGGGGAAGGCAACTCTATGGGGAATACACCTGAGGGAGTGGGGGAAGCAAATATTATTTAAAAATGATCAATGGTTTAAAAAAATTTAAAAATAAAAAATAAATAAATAGGGATAATAAAAAACAAGTAAAGGGTGGCCTCTGGGTGAGCACTTTCCCATGGGCTCCTTGGGCTCCTGTGGGGAGGGCAGAGGGAGCCTTTGTGAGTACAGAGCCCTGTGCAGGCCTGTAGCTGAGCTGAAAGTCAGCGAGTCCGGGGAAAGTGGGGCGGCCCGAGCCCCAGGTGGCAGGGGAGACTATAGTGTCTGCTCAACCCCCAGCACTTGGCCGCCTGAGCCCCAATACCTGGTTTCTTGTAGATCACGTAGAGCAGGAGGAAGAGGACAATGCCGATGGCGACGAGGGCCGCCCACCAGGTGAGGAGAAACATGATGACCACGGAGATGATGGCCCCGAACAGCGCCGCCCACTTGCTGTAGTACCGGAACGAGGGTCTCCAGCCTGGGCGGGCACAGGCCAGCAGCACACTCAGCGCTCTGGGGCCTCTGCGGGGCTGAGCCCTGATGGTGGTGCCATAATGTACTAGCTATTATTTTTTAAAAAAGATTTATTTGTTTATGCATACAAGAGCTGGGGTGTAGGCCAGAGCTGTGGGGGGTGGTGTGTGTGTGAGAGAGGATTCACCAGAGACAGAGTGGGGAGTAGAACAGGCGGATCTACTGAAATACACTGCTGGGGGAGCAGCGGGAGAAACAGGATAGGTCTGCTGCTGCGCCATGTAGATCACCTCCCTGGCCTGTCATGCTGCAGACAGCTTCATAGTGCTGAGACTCAACCCCTTGCACCACCAGGGAGGCCCTGTACTAGCTATTATGTCATCACTATTTGAACAATCCCTTTCATGGTTTACTCTGGAGACGTGACCTCGGTCTTCCACCTCCATCTGTGCCTTTCACTCCCCTTCCACAACCCAGCCCCCAGGGCCTCCGCCAGGGAGGGGTGAGGCTTGCTTACCAGGCGAGTTGGTGATGGAGGCGTGGAAGCAGCTGAAGTTGATGAGTGCGTAGGAGCACAAGAAGAAGTTGGAGATGATGGGGGCGATGGTGTTGAGCTCAGCTTCAGGGACCCGGGAGAGAGCACAGCCTGCTAGGCAACACCACCCAGGCGCCTACCGCCCGCCCACCAGGCCTTCACGAATCTCAACCTTCTCATCTGTGAATTGGGCCCATCATTTTGTGAAGCACAAAGACCAGTGTTTTGTGAACTGAGCATGGATCACAGTGTGAGAACAGATCCCACCAGGCAAAGGGATGACCGAGGACAGTGGCTTAGCAATCACACCTTTTGGGGGGCCCACAAATTCCAATTAGAAATACATTTTGCAATGTGACCCAGGACACAAGCCATCAAATCACTGAGACCAAATCACAGTCCTGCCCACAGAGCAAACCCACTCAGGCAGTGACTGCTTCCTTTCCCTGGCTCACTGTCCCCCATCTGGCACCCATCCTGCCACCGACCCATCCGGCACCCACAGACAAGCTTTTGCACATGGACCCCTATCTCAGGGTCTGCAGGGTGAGGGGCAGGGAGTAGATAAACAAGACAAGCACCATTTATGTGCTAGCCTTTGTATAAGACTCCCGTGACCACCACTGGGCCCTGCACCAGCATCTGGGATCATAATCCTCAGTCAGAGACACCCAGGTTCTGAGTTGGGGTAAGGGTGGAGATAGAATACCAGGTCTCACTGGACATTTCTGTTTCCTGCGGGAGGCCCTGCTGCCTCTCTATCTGCTTTAGGATCCAATTGGATCCACTCCCTTGTGTGGAAGTGACTAGGCCTTTCAGGTAAGTGGCCAATGCACAGGGGCAGGGCTGGGGACTTCATGCCATGGCCAGTGGCCTGCTTGGTATGGCCATCTCTCTCCAGTGAGTTCTGCCTCCTTGACTAAGCAGACCAGGACATCTTGAGGTGTGTCTCATGTGAGTGTGTGCGTGTATGAATGTGTGAGGTATGCATGTGTGAGGGTCTCTTCCTGCCACTCTGTGGCACTTAGTCCCATTTTGCAGATGAGGAAACTGAGGCCCAGGGAGGCAAAGAGTCACATGCAGGCATGTGCCAAAGCCAGGACAGAAAGCTAATCCAAATGGTTCATTGGGGTCTTTTTCCTAAGGCATTCCCGACTTTGAAACCCAATGGGTCTAGAAGTTCAAGGTCTGACATGTGAAGTTTTTCTAGTTTTCACAGAGATATTGATCCAGCAGTTTGTATCAGCTCCCAAGGAGGGATCAATCAGCTTGTCCTGAGCACCAAAGGCTTCCTGAGGACTAATCCAGACCTGGGCAGGGAGCGGGAGGGGAGATGCCCAGCTGCTGGGAAGTGGGAATGTACTGGAGAGAGCTGGCAGGGTCCCTTCTAACGAAACAGATGGGCCCACCTGCCTGGCAGAGTGTGGGAGCCACCCCGTCTGGAGGTGGAGCATGGGGAGGCACCACATGCCCCCCCATACCTTCCAGCTAGGGCCCCCTGTGTGCCCTGGCAGTCCTCACCAATGATGATGAAGGCCACAGCAATGGCGTAGGCCAGCAGGTAGCCACGCACTGGCTCCTTGTTCTTGCCGTAGCCTTTCCCGAAGAAGCCGATCAGGGGGTACAGCTGGTCCTCACACAGGCACTGTGGGCAGAGGGTGCTGTGCTCACCCCCTGGCTGGGGCCTGTTCCGAACCTCCACACCCCTGTGGCCACCACCTCCTGTCCCTGCTTGGCTCCTCTGCCACACCAGCAGGAGGCCCGTCCCCAGTCCGGGGCCTGCTTCTGCCTGTTACAGGGGCCTGCAAGAGTCTCCCCAACTAGCCCCCATTTCTTGGAGGCCCCTGTCACATGACACCTCCATGTCTTTGTAGCAGTCACATAGGGACCCTGCATATGAGCCTCCTAGGTATCAACACCCCCACCCCCTGCTGCCTCACCTGGAAGACTTTGGCGGCAGAAACGAGGCAGGCCAGGGCAGAGGAGAGGGTGGCCCCAAAGATGCCGGCAGTAATCAGGGGTGCAAAACCAGACACCATGCTCATGGTCTGCAGGGATGCAAGATTCAGGCCCCCATGATGGGGAGTTGGGCCCAGAGCTCCCAACTGGGGGGCTCTAGTCCCACTGTGGGTGGTGACTGGGTCCAGGGGTCCCCACCTGAAACCCAACTCCTTTCTCCTAAACTGGGGTGGACCAGGTCTACCCCAGCCTGTTCCAGCCCCTGCTTGGTGGCCCCTGCATCTAGCTGTCCTGGCAGAGCCCCAGTACCTGGTAGTAGTTGATGAGACCATAGCGGCAGTTGTGCTCCTGGGAGCACTCTGTAAAATTCCAGCCATAGCCGCAGGCCAGGCCCTCGCAAGTGCCGGAGCTGGGGGTCACCGTGTCGTTCAGGACCCCGGAGGCATCTCGAACCACGCAGGAGCCTGAGGAGCAGGAGGGCACTGTGGGCACCCCACTCTCCTCCCTCCTCCCCCAAATACTGGCCACTGCTGCAGTGGGGAGGGGCTGCTGGCCCAGCTCCTTCTTCACCTGTGATGGTGATGGGGACGTCATGCCAGGCACTGGGCTAAGCCCTGTAAACAGCCCTGGGAAGCGGTTTTTGCTATGACTTCTGCCGTTCTCTTCTTCAGAGGCGCAGGGAGTTTAAGTGACCTAAGTCACGATGTCCCCCATAAAAGTGAAGACCTGGGGCTGGAGGCCTGAGTGGCTGCCACCTGGGCCATGTCCTTCAGCCATCTGACCCAGGCTCTACCACTCAGAGGCTGTGTGACCCTGGGCTGGTCACTGAACTTCTCTGAGTCTCTCCTTCATAAAGTGGTGGACATGACAGTATCCAGATTAAATGTGGCCAGGCATGGAAAGGGCTGGGCACGCAGCAAGTCAGTCACGTCACCCCACCACCAGCCTCCTCCTCATCGTTCCTGCAGTTGGAGCAATTTGTCCTGTGAGACTTTCACACCCATGAATCTGGAACCTCAGGTTTGAATGGACCAGAGGTGCCTGGTCTGACCCTCCCTACCTTTACTGCAAACACCCTGCAGTCACCACTGGAAGAGGTGGTGCCCCAAAAGACAAGGCTTGAGGCTCCCCTGCCTGGGGTGGTCATGTTTCCCTGCACCCCCTGACTCCCTCCAGCAGTCTGGGCTGGCCACTTACCTATGGTGGCTGAGATGGCCAGGTAGGAGATGGTGGTCCAGAAAATGGCCATGAGTGTCCCCTTGGGGATGGCTACGGCCGGGTCCTGGGGGGGATGGAGAAGGTAGAAGTTGATGGACCCCAGTGGGGAGGGCATCAGTTAGTCTTGGGCCCTTGTCTGAGATGGGGGTGGGGCAACAACCCCTGACCTTGCTATCACAGAGCCCTCTTCTAGCACAGAGAGAGGGGAGCCTAAAAATCGAGGACCCACAGAAGAGGGCAGGATACCACCAGGCCCAAAACTGAGAGCACAGCTGGGGCCCTGGCAGCCCAAGCAGAAGGGAAACTCCAAGCAGTTCCACGCCTCTCAGAGATGCTCAGTCATCAACTGCGATGTGGTGGTTAGGGTGGGGTGTGTGTACAGGGCCCCCCAGGGGGTCAGCCTGACTGGGGTCAATTCCTACCCCTTGGGGCCTCCCTGGTGGTACAAGGGGTTAAGCACTGCACTATGAAGAAATCCACAGCCTCTGCAGCACGAGGGAAGAACCCACATGGTGCAGCAGACCTCTCCTGTCTCGCCCGCTGCTCCCCTCAGCAGTGTATTTCAGTCTATCTGCCTGTTCTGCTCCCCGCTCTGTGTCTGGTGGATCCTCTCACCCCCCGCATCTCTGGCCTGTACCCCAGCTCTTGTATGCATAAATAAACAAAGTTTAAAAAAAAAAATCCCACCCCTCACGGGGATGCTGGTAAAAGAATGAGTTAATTCACGTGGCGCTCCTAGACCAGGCCAGGCTCCTGGCAGGGTTTACTGCAAGTTAATCGCATTAGCCACCCATTGATCTGTCGGGTTCCACAACAATAAACATAGACAGAGGCCCCCCGACTCTCTCCTCCCCTCTAAGAGAAAAATCTCTGCTGTATTTTCCTAACAGAAAAAGCCAATCCTCACACTCACATCACATGCTCCACTCTTGTCATATAACTTCCTAAGAAGGGAGCAGGTGGCTCTGCCCAGCTGGAGGGGGAGCTGAGGCCAGGGGCCTGGGAGGAGGGCCCAGCTCCTCTGCCACCTGTGTGTGCGGCACTGACCCTCCCTGAGCTTGGCCGCTCTGAGGACAGTGTTGGCGAAGGCATCAGGGGCTGAGGGGCAGCCCCTTGCAGCCAGCCCTCAGGCTGCCTCTGTGCTCAGCACTTTGTGGGGGTCCTCATCACACCCTGCTGAAGAGGGTGAAGCGGAGGCCCAAGTTTAGGGCCTTGCACAAAGTTTTATAGCAAGAACCCACAAGCAGGAGATAGAGACACTCTTCCACTGAGGACCCTGGACAGACGGAGGAAGGGCCAGGAGCCCCTGAAGACTTGCGCACCATTAGGTGCCAGGTGCCCAGCTCTGAGGCAGCTGCCTGTTCCCGGCACAGGCGCATTGGGCCTGGGCTGCAGGGTAACCTAAGAAGCTGGATGAAGCGTCTCGATAAATCCCTGGGCTGCAAAGATCTGTACCTCAGCTGGGAGGGAACCGGCCTGTCTCAACACAAGTCTCACCGCTGCAGGGACCTTAGGGAGGCAGACCAGGCCTGCAAGGGCCGCTCCCCAGAGAAGGGCGAGCAGTCCGACAAACAAGGCCTCTCTGATTTCAGGGCTCCATGTTGAGCCTGGGGACATATCAGTTAGACCCTGAGGGGCCTGGGATTGTCTCCAATGCATAGTTCTTCTCTTAGTTCAGAAACCGCACCAAGGAGCCCCTCTAAGTGGGGCAGGGGATGGAGGTCACGGAGTCCAGCAGCAGGCAGGGGCCCCAGCCGCTCACCAACTCGCACACCCCCTCCCGCCACAGACTCTGCTTGTCTTTGTTGGGGTCTCTCCCTCTCCCCGCCCTTTGCCTTAACACTTCCCATTTGCAGCATTTCACCCTGGACCACTCAGCACACATGGACTGAGTACCTCACCCATGTCAGCCTCTCTGCTGGGAGCTGGGACACAGAGGCCTCAGCTCTCCAGATGCTGGGGAGTCACGGGAGAGACCTAACAGTGGAGGAAGAGGGACAGACCTTTTTGAGGTAGAGAAACGAGGGGTGGGAGTCCCAGGTAGGATCACAGCAGAGGCATGGAGGAGGGACAGGGTCCCCTGGGTAAAGCTGCAGAGCCTCAGGGCTGGGGACAGGGGTCATGGGAACTGCAACGTGGTGGGGCTTGGGCTTTGAATGCCAAGCCGAGGTGCCTGCTGCATCAGCTGCAAAGAGAGAGTGGAGGCCCTGGGAGGAGGTTGGGCCAGCAAATATGTGCGTGGCCTCTGAGTTCTGGAAGGTCGAGCTGGGTTAGTCTTCCGCTTAGGCTGAGAGTTCCGGGAACTAGGGAGGGACCAGTTCATTATTGGACCAAGGCCTAGGGACCAGCTATGCCAATGACAGCCTGAAGAAGGCATGGGGTGCGAGGGATGGAAAGGGAAGGATAAGAGGGGTTTGGATTGGATTGGACTGGATAGAGTTGAATTGGATGGACTGAATTTTAGCTGGTCTGGACCAGTAATCTCTGGCCCAGCTAGTGCCCAGTTCAATATCCTGGTGCCAGGAAGGGGAGGGATGGTGTCCTGCTCACCTTGAGGTCCCCGGAGATGTTGGCCCCTGCCAGGATGCCTGTGGCCGAGGGAAAGAAGATCGAGAACATCCCAAAAAAGCTGCCGTCCGTGCCCCTCCAGTCAGGCACCAAGTTCTGGACAAAGATGTCAGCTGGAAAACCAAGGCCTGAGTTAGAGCCTCCTGGAGGGCCTGGCAAGCCTGGCAGCCTCCTGGCCACGGCATCAAGGGTCCCAACCTCCAGGGACCACAGAATGGCAGGCAGATGATCCCTGCCTCCAGAGCTAGGGGCAGGGGCCCCAATATGCACGTACCCCGGTAGCTGAAGAAGCCTTTGGAGGCCTTGTCCTCAGATGGGGGGATCAGGGTTCCCACCAAGTAGTTGGCAAAAGAGACCATGATAACAAGGAAGAAGAGCACCTGGGCCTGGGGATGAAGGATCCGAGAGGTCAGATGGGAGTCCCAGTGGGATTGCTGACCCAGGGTGCCTTGTTCCCTCATTCCCTCATTCGATGCCCATGATGGTGCAGCTCTGTGCCAGGAGCTGGAGCCACAGCAAGGCTCTCGTCTCGGTGATAAGGAAAAAGAACAGGGGGTGTGGTGGAACTGGTTTGGGGGCTACTTCATCAGGATGGTAGACTGAGAAGGGGTCTCCAGGGAGACAATTGAACACAACTGAGGAGGAAGCTGGGTGAGCAGAACGACCGACCGGGCTATAAGCCAGGAGACCAAACCCTCGTGATGGGACATGACCAGCGCCGAGAGCAGAAGGGGAAGGGAATTCCCTCCTTGTCCCCAACTTCCCCTTCCCGCTGACTGACTGTGGACCTGGTGGTGGCCGTCATGGGCCAGGAGGAAGAGGGCCACACCCCAGGGACAGAGGCCACAGAAAGGAAGGAGCCCAGCTGCCTGAGCGCCCAGCCCACGTGCCCTGGACTGTCACAGGAGAGAGAAGCACTGCTGGGAAGTGGTCTTCCTCGGGGTCTTGATCACAGTTCAATGTCAAGGCCAGCAAATCAGGAGAGGCAGAACCGGGCACGGGACCCAGGCCTCACAGCAACTGCTTTCCTGCTCGCCCACCCTCTTCCCTTCTCTGCCGCGCCCCCTCACCTTGGACTCCCACTCCATGCCCGCCAGGGAGATGGCCAGCAGCACGGTGACGGTCACCACGCCGATGATGCGGATGTCATTGACGGGATCCACGATGGGCGAGCCGTACTCCTGGGGCGGGTGGAGACCGGCCAGCTGCCTTCCCACCCTGCCCACCCCCGATCTGATTCGACATTTACGGTGACCCTCTCACAGGAAAACACAAACACCTTCCCAGCCATCAGATGCCCAAAGCGGCTACCACGGAGTTTGACCCGGGCAGTTTGACCCTGGGAGTTGCTACCCGGGCAGTTTGACCCCAAAGGCCACCTGAAGGGGACTGCGAGGGGTGTCTCCATGCGATTGCCATTGTCACCCACACAGACGGGACAGTGGCCTTGCTTATTGATGGGCGGGGCAGGCAGAGCCCGGGGGTGGAGGAGAGTAAGGCTGGCTCCCCGAGCCCCGCGCAGCCTTACCTGAAGCAGGTCCCGCACAGTCTCTGCGAAGCCCACGGTGTGCATGGCCACCCCCACGGCATTGGCGAATGCAAAGATGAGGCCGATGGAGCCCCCTAGCTCTGGGCCGAGACTCCGGGAGATGAGGAAGTAGGTACCACCTATGGGGACCAGAGCCAGGAGCCATGAAACCAGCAGAGCCATGGGCTGGGGTGGGCATGGGCAGGTGGAAACTGAGCCTGGGAGAGGGTCCCACAGGACCCAGAAGGCCTCTGGAGCAGCGGAGCCCTCCCAGAGGTGTGGAAACCTCCCAAAGCCTCTACTTGGAACCAGAAGGAGGTTGGGTGGTGGCTGGGGAGCCTGCAGGGGAAGACCTTGGTGGTGGGGTGGGCCAGACAGTAGCGGGGGTGGGGCCCACCTGACTTGACCTTGCCGTTGGTGGAGATGGCCGAGATGGAGAGGCCCGTGATGGAAGTCACCAGCACAGAGAGCAGGATGATGATCCAGGTGAGGACTGTGGGGGTGGGATGTGGTCACTCCAAAACTCAGCTGGGCATTTCCCAGGTGGGGAGCCACACGAATCAGCCAACTAATTCACTACGTGATGTAAATTACTTCCCTTCTTGGAACCTCAGCTTTCTCTTCTGAGAAATGGGTCTCTACCTCCTGACATCCTCAGTAGCCGAGCAGACACAGCAGCACATAAAGGATCCCAGGCATGGAAGAGAAAGGATGCTTCTCTCACAACAAAAAATTAAGTAATAGCTACTTAATAAACACCTCTGGGTGTCAAATACTGGGCTGTGTTTTAGGTGCATCATAGAAGCCCCACAGTAGGGCCTATGAGGTTTGGATGAGCTTGCCTCCATTTTTACTGATAAGGAATCCAAGGCTCAGGGAGATTAAGAAACTTGTGCAAGGTCACACAGCAGAATAGACAGCTAGGATCTGGAAACCTGGCCTGCCCAGAGTTCAAGTACCTAACCCAGAGTACCCCAACCCTGCTGGTCTGCTGTAGGAACTGGCTCAAAGAGATACCGACTTATGGAGGGTAAACAGAGGCAGGAGAGTCTTCGGGCTGCTGACCCCAAGTCCAGTTGCCTCCCTGCCACACCATCCCATCCTCAGTCACTGCAGTGCCTGTAGTTTTTGTCCCTGGGGGCTCAGAGGACCAGGACTGTGTACACCTTCCCTGTCCCCCAGAGCCCCACTCACCGATGCCTGCCTGGGCTGTAATCCAGGGGAGCCGCAGGTAGAGAATCACACCCCAGATATTGAGCATGCACCGGATCTGGAGGAGAGGAGGGTCAGAGGCCACCTGGCTGGGCTGGATACCCAAAGGTCAAATGCACAAGGGCTTGTCCTACGTGTCTTCAGGCATGGAGGCTTGGAGATGCCTGGAGATGCCTGGGTCCTTTCTTTGCCTTACTTACTTCTCTGGATTCCTAGGGAGGGAAGGGATACCCAGGCTCTCCCGCCCCCACCGCACTTCCCATCCATTCTCTTGCCCTTCCTTGGAGGCCTGAGGACAGGCTGCCAGCATTATCGCCCTTCAACCCGCTCCACACTCAGGATCCTGGCCCCAGTGGTCAGCTGTTAGAAGACTTGGCATTTAGGGGGCTCAGCAAATGCCCACTTAGCCACATGCGAACAGAAATCAGGGCTCAGATGCTGTGACTTCAGCTCCCAAGTTTAAAGCAAAGCCGGTCAAGGGGCTTCAGCTGAGGCTGAAATTCTCAGGTGGGAGTGGCTGGTGTGATCTTGGGTCCTAGCCAAGTGTCGGGGTGGGACGTGACATTTATTAGGGGGGAGATTTCGCTGGCCCTTCCCTTGCTCTGAGATACTGAACAGGACCACGCCAGGCTCTGGTCAGCACAGTCCAGGAGGGAGATCCAGACTTTGGATATGAGCCTCTGGGGATGGAGAAGGGAATCATTGTTTAGATGGAGAAACTAAGGCACAACCAGTAGGCACTAGGTCAGATGCTAGCCTCCTGCCTTCCAGAGCAGGACTAAGAGTTATCTGAGATCCCGTGATCCCCTCTGTGAAGTCCCATGATGTCTTCTAAAGCCAGGTTCACTTGATTCTTCACTGTCTGGTGACCTGTTTGTGCTGTTCACTACAGCAAACCACCCCCTCCCAACATGGAGAATGAAATACTTTCTTGGATGTGTGTTAGTGCTGCCCCCTGGTGGCTTTTTGGAGAAACAGTTCCTTCTAATGTCCAGGCAGAAATTAACTAGTAGGTTATGTCTGTTCATTTCATTTAATGCTTTCACTTCACAAATGAGGAAACTGAGACACAGACCGATTAAATATATTTCCCAAGTTCATGGAGCTAGTGAGTAGCTGAGTAGAGATCTGCTCCAGAGCCAGGTCTCAGTCCAGGGGTATAGGGAGGTCAGGAAACACAAAACCAGAGAAAATTTGAGGTCTCTTATGAGATGGGAAAATCAAGGCCCCAGCTAGACCTTGGGTCTGCCCTGGTCTCTAAGGTCTGAGAGTCAACACTGAACCTGGAAGGAGCTCTGTCTCCCCACTCCCATCCCTGGATCCCAACACCCATCACCCCCACTCACCATCACCCCCTTGACCCAGCCAAAGCGCACGGGCTCTCCAGGGGTCTTCTCACTGCTGGCGGCTCCCTCGTCCTCCACCAGCCCATCAGTCATCTCATGGCTGGGCCGGCTGTCAAAGGCCAGCGCATGCAGGTGACTGCCTTCCTGCTGGGAGCCCAGGGCCTTGGGTCAGGCCGGCAGGGGTCAAGGCAGTCCAGCTCCTGGGCCTGCCCAGCCCACACTCTCCACAGTCCAGCCTCCCAGATAGCAAACCCAGTGAACCCCCTTCGTGATACAGGTCTTCCTCGCCCCTTCTCTCCCCAACTCTTCCAGTTGTGTGAACGTCTGTTTATATCTCCCGTGACCGGGAGCTCATGTCTTTGGGATGCTAGTGACTGTACAATAGACATTACAACCTGTGTCCAGAGCTTTAAAGCTTCCACACCCACATTTTATTTGTGCCTCTTGACTTATAAAGAAGACTCTTGTCCCCATGTCTCAGATAACAGAATCAAGGCTCAGAGAAGTTAGGTCACTGGGTCAAGGTCACACAGCCAAGCAGGGGCAAGTCTCCTAAGACGGTGCTTACCTTCAGGAAGGAGTGCAGATCGGCCAGCGTGGGCCGGACCTTGCGGGGCTCACCGGGCAGGGCGCTGTTGGCATAGTGCTCGTAGGCGGGCACCACGTCGATGGTGTTGTAGCCAAAGGTGCGCATGTACAAGGTGCTGCCATGGGTCAGGTGGCTGGGGTGGCTGCTGTCATAGGCTGCTGGTGGAGGGGGCTCTTCACCCCCGAGCAAAGTGCTGATGGTGAAGCGCCCGCTGCACAGAGCAGGGTCCCCAGGCAGCTCCGAGCCCAGCTGCTCCGCCATTGCAGTCTGGGTGGCAGGGGAGGGGCCAGGGTCGGTGGGGACACTCAGGGTGGCTTTATAGGCTGGGCCCACAGCAGAGGGGCCAAGGAGGTTGGCCCAAACCGCCCGGAGCTGGCAAGCAAGGTCCCGGACAGGGTGAGAGTTGCGGACACGTGCACGGAGGCCCTTCCCACACGGATGACAGAGCCTCCCCGCCTTGAAGAGGGAGGGCTGGGCTGCCTCTGTGCCCCACATAGAGCTAAGCAGCGGGGCACTGCACCCCTGGCCCTGGCAGGCACAGTGTCCAGAGAGGACCCTTCGGACCCTGTGAGGGACCATCGCGATGGCTGGTACCCTCAAAGACCCTCTGACTTCAAAACCTCTCATTTTATTTTATGGTATTTACTTTCTTTCTTTAGAGTTTTTGAAGAGATGAGTGGGTTGACATGGTAAAGGATACACATGTGTATAAGAGAGTGGTCTCTCTCACTCAGATGCTTGACTCCCAGCCTCCCATGTCCCTCCAGAGACATCTCAGTGTACACAAGCCATGGTGGACACAGACCCGCCCCGGAGAGCTCAGCAGGAGCCAGGTGTGCTGAGTCACCGAGGACTGTGGGCGACTGGGCCCCCCCTCCATACACTCACCCCAGAGCCTCCCAGGGCTCTGCCTACAGGACATGGGGTGTCTTCCCCAGACCAGCCCAGACAGGGCACCCCAGGTCCCGGGGGACCCAGGGGCCCAGGCCCCACCACAGCACTGGGCTAGGTAGCTCTGTCAGGGCCCCTGAGGCCCTGCCGGGAGTGCACACTGAGGGCCTGGGGAGCCACAATGTTACCAGAGGCGTCTAAGTAGTTGCTGCATAGGGTTGCAGTTGGAGCCATAGGGGGCCAGATGGGGGGGGGGGCTGGGGAGATGGCTAGTGTGGTGGGCGCCTGGGAGCCACAGTGGTGAGGGTTCTCAGCGTCAGTCCCCAGGGCGTCCACCTGGCCTGTGTCACCTTTCCCCCCAGGGGACCCATATCCATGACTGACCAGATTGGTGTTGGGTGTAAGGTCCTGGTGTCCTGCCCCCAACACTGTAGGGCCTCCGCTGCCCCAGAGCTCCCAGATTGGCTGAGGTTTTGTGTCTACTCCGCAGCCTACCGATCCCTCTGGCCCGCCCTGCTTCCTCCCCTTCTCCCCACAGGTGACAAGGCCTCACACTGACCCCTCTGTCACCCCTGCAGGGTCTTGCACCTTTCAGTCATTCACCCAACAAAGCTTGATTGACCACCCACCTGCCAGACCTCTAGGGACAATGGGGGCCAGTGCCGCTGAGCTGTGGGGACAATGGACACAGCCTGCCCAGCTCTGTGGTGGGGGCAGCCATGGCTGGGAGGCCCTGGGGGGAGGGCAAGTGGTGGGGACAAGTCAGGGATGGGAGATACCCCTGACCTGACTCTTGGAGGATGGGTTGCCCCCCTGGGAAGCAGGAGACAGAGGGAGGCCACAAGACAACCAACTCCAGCGTCTGAGCGCGGCTTTTGCTCAGGCTCCAGCCACTCCAGGGAAGGATGCGGAAGGACACATTTTCTCACCCCCCATGCCTGGCCTCTCAGAGCCTACAGAGGTCCGCAGAGCACCAGCTCCAGATGCGGGGTGTTCTGGGGTTCTAGACCTGGTCAGCACTGGTGGGTTGAGGACTCACAGAAAGGACTGGCTCACCTGGTCCCTGCAGCTCCTGTCCAGGGGGGTCCAGCTGAAGGGCCAGGCAGAGGGGCAGGTGGAAATACTGACCATGTTAGGGAATCGCCCTCCAAGATGGGGGTGCTTAAACTGGGGTTCAGAGGGCAAAGAGTGACTGACATAGAAACTGGGGACAGAACTACCCTGGGTTGGGGTGTGTGGAAGGGGCTGCTACCTAGGGCTCTGCCACCTCAGACAGGCATGGCAGTGACTAAGGACCTTGACGATGACCCTAATAGAAAGGATCACTGTTTACCTTTTTGCAAAGTTTATATATTCACTATATGTGCTAATTAAAAAAAAATCAAATCTTCTCAGGGCTCCTCTTAATCTCCCCCGGTTTGCCTACCCCCTTCCCTGGAGACCCAGTGCTGCCACACTAGCTGCCAATAGGGCAGAGGCTCCAAGGTGAGGTCTGCAGGCCAGGCCCATCATGGTCAAAGCTCCCCCTCCCTGCAGCCCCCACCTGCTGTCTGGTCTGGTGGGGAGGCCTGTGAGTTACTGATTCCCTTATGAGGCCTTGGGGCAGATCTTATCACCCTCTGACCAGCCACTCAACTGAAGAAAATCACAGCTGCCTCACACCCCTCACACCATTCCTACACACCCTGACCCTGGAGCTGAGGTGGAAAATTCCTGATTAAGATCTTAGGAGAGGAAGGAGTCTGAGGGGGCCCGGGTTGGTTTCCAAATGCACTGAGGTCAGGGCCAGATTTAGGGCCCGATGTTGCAGGGTGACCTTGGGCCAGTCACTTCCTCCTGCCTCTGCAGTTGCCAGGCCTGGGTCAGCTCCAAGGTCCCTTCCAGTCCTACAGAGGCTGTTGCTTCTAGAAGCCTTTCCTGACCCTGTGCATCTCTGGGGGGTGGGAGAGGATGATTTAAGAAAGACCTCAAAACGTGCATCAATAGGGACTGCCAGAGCACTTTATCCCGAAGCCCAGGGCTCCAAGAGAGGATTCTTGCACTTAGATGGGATTCCATCAATTTGAGGAATGCTTGCAGAGGCACTCTTCTTGATGGGAAGCCAGTACTGGGCACACACAATTGCTACTGGCTTCCAGGGGGCCCCCAGAGCCCCTCAGCAATGAGATCTGGCACCATGGAAATGGTAACGCGTGTACCCAGAACAAAGCCTGTGTTTGGCCTCAGGGAGTCTTAGGCTTGCATCTCAACTATCAGTTTCTGTGAGACATGGAGCAAGTCACCTGACCTTTGAGGCCTCAGCCTCAGCTTCTGCAGCAGCAAAATGGAAATGACACTGATGTGAAGTGCAGCTCACCATCCATGTCAGGCCCTGGCTGCACTCAGTGACAGGGCACTGGGTCTTTCCCGGTTCTCAAAAGGTGGAGAACAGGGCAGTAAAGGAACTGAAAGTCTCAGTGGTCAGAAAACTCCATAGATGTGAAAACCCTAGACTCGAAGGAGAGGACGGCAGGGCCTGCCCAACCTCTGAGTCTCAGGATTCCTGAGTTAATGGCCACAGCAGCATCTATGAATTTACTGTACCCTAGGCACGGGGATCTCAGTCTGGCCTGGCAAATAGCCAGGAGATCAAGGGCTACCCAGGAAAGGGAGGGGATCTGGGAAGGGAGATGGGTAGGCTAGGATGGAGCCAGGCATGAAGTTCGGGAAGGGCATGGTCATGGCAGGGAAGGGGCAGGTGGGAATGGTACATCCAATGCCATGGGGGTGGGGGGAAAGGAGCAGAGAAGAAGTAGTGGGATAAAAGAAAAATAGCTGATGGTTTCACTTATAACAGGAATATAGGGGAACCAAATAAGACATCCGTGTAAGAAAATAATAACAGTTCAAAACACAACAAAACAAAACCAGACAATTATAAACCAGAGACACCCTGCAGGGGAGGAGGCGGGAGAGGGATCAGAGGGAGGGAGGGAGGCACACAGGGGACTGAGGTGATGGTGCACGGGTGCCTTGGGGAAGGAAACTCTATGGGGACTCAATCTGAGGGGGTGGGGGGAAGCAAATATTGTCTAAAAAATGTAAAAAATGATAAATGTTAAAATAAAAAAAATGAAAAGTCAGATAAAAAAATAAAGAAAATTCATCATCTTGTCAAAAGAAAAAGTAGTGTGATAGGAGACTGAAAGGGATCTGATAGTTTCTTCATTCACACACATTTATTGAGTGCCTACTGCATACCAAGCCCTGTGAAAGGCAAGAGAGTCACCACAGGGAACAAGACAAGAGGCCCTGCCCTCCTGGAGCTCACATTCTAGTGGAAGAGATAGACAATAAATAAACAAGCAATCATTATATAATACATTTAGCAATAAGTGTTAACAACGTCTTGGGGTTTTTGTGTTTTTTTGAGGGCCATGCAGGGCTTTCTGAGAATGAAAAATTTGAGCTGAGCTCCAACAATGAGAAAGAACCACTGTTATACAAGCAGGTATGAGCATTGGGGTTCCAAATAGAGGGGGGAAAGCATGTGCAAAGGCCCTGGGGCAGGGTTGTGGTTGAGTTTCAAGAGGGCAAGGAGGCCTGTATGACATGAGGGACCAAGGAGATAGGGCCCCCCTAATGAAGGTCTTGTACCCATATAGAAGTCTTACATTCTATCATGTGATGGTCAGATTTGTATTTTCCAAAGATCACTTTACCTATTATTTGGAGAAGGGACTCAGGGACTGAAGGGCAAGACAAGGCTAATCAGGGGCCCTCACAGGTAGGCGATGGTGGTAGCCAGGCCAGGGAGTGGCTGTGGAGTGGCTGGGTGGTGGGCAGCATTGGGAGTTTAGATATATTCTGACAGAATCAGTGCAGGACTTGTGTCCTGCAAGGGGTTCAAGAGAAGGGATGCGGGAGGATTCTGGGGGAAATGGTGGTATCACTTCTGAGTCTGGAAACCTGGTGTGAAGGGTCTTGGGGGCCAGGGTAAGGAGTCTGACCTTGGAATAGCAGGATCCTATCTGTTCCTAGAAATCAGCCAGTGGCCCCAATGAGGTGGGCAGTATAGACAGAGCACAGAAAGAAATAGGGTAGGGGAGGAGGGTGGGCTGAGAGGGGCTACAGCACAGTCAGGCAAGAACAGACAAGCACCCCAGGTCGAGCGTTGGGGCCCACTGGCAACGCATGGCCTTGTACATCCTACAGAGACCTCTAACAAGCATGAATGTTGTGGTACACGTCGGCAAGGCTGCGGGCCTGGTGTGTAGTAGGGGATGAAGAAGGAGCATCAGGATTTTTGAAAAACTTCTGAGGTGCTCCTGAGGAGTCATCAGACTGAGCTCCAGGGGCTAAAGGGACCATCACACACACACCCTGCACCCCCTCCCACCTCATCCCCACGTCCGTGTCT